TTTGAACTTTAAACATTTATAGATTTATTGGATTTAAAGAGTTTAAAGACAGAAACAATAAATATTAATTAGAAAGAAAAATGATGCACATTCATTTGATAGATGAGGATAATACTTTTGATAAGACACAATTACAATGGAGCTTAAGAGAAAAACATATATGACTACATGGAACAATGGTCAACTTAGCAGCCCACCATTACTATTGCTATCCTAACTGGATAGCCCACACTTGTGGCCTTGTGCCAGTCTAAGCTAAGCTTACAAAATACTCATTATAATGAATGAAATGATGAAATTGTTTGGAAAGCAAAAAATATTGCTTCAAATCAAATATTTTTAGCTAACATGAAAACTTTCAAATTCTCTTTTTAAGTTGAATTTGAACTTTATAATTAAAAAAAAAAAAATTAGTTTAGAAAGAATTGAAAAATAAAGGAATTTTTAAAAATGATTTCCATACAAATAAATAAATAATAAAAAAATAAACTCAAGATCAGATGGAGATAAGAAAACCTTGCTTCCCCACAAAAGAAATTGTTTTTTTTAGAAAAAATTCCTAGCATAAATATTTAGAAAAAGTAAACAAGCACAATTCACAAGGAACTAAAAAAGTTTGTACAATTTTGGTAGATGAAGAAAATACAACAATTGAAGCTATCAAAAAGAAAATAAATAAAAAATAAATAAATAAACAAACATTGAAAAAGATTAACTTAGTCTGACAAAATGTTACAACTGTGAAGTAGCTCATTAAGAATAAACATTTTTATAATTTGTAAGGTTTGTAAACTCACTACTCATTGCTCTACTGTAAATAGTAAAGTTATTTATTTTGGTTTAGGTTAGTTTGGTATAAGGCCATAATTGTGGAGTGCCCAGAGAAATTTGAATTCAAGAGGAAATCAACAATGTTAGAATTAATTTATCAAGTATCTACGTGAACATCCAACCCCAACAGTTTTCTAAATTAGGTTTTATAACTTTGCATATCATCAGGATAAAAACTTTTTCTAAACATTTTATATATTGCACAGTATAAGAAGAAAAAATTTTAAAACATCTTTATGTAAGTACTTTTTTCTTAACATAGAATTTTGAATAATTAGCTTTATTTCAATAATTTTGAAATAAAAAAAACATGTAATTAGTACAAAAACTATATTGTATAAATATCCAATACTATATTTTGGTTGACACTAATTTTTCTTATGTCGTAGATGTTTTTTGTTTTAACTGTTTTTGTATTTCATTTGCATTCACTTAGAATTTGATTTATTATAACTAATGTATTTAATCACTTACTATATCAATTCCAAATTTGTCAAGAAAAAGAAATTTGGCTCATTGTTTAATGTTTACAATTAATTACAACAGTAATTGTCTGACAGCAAGGGGATATAAATTTGAATTATTATAAGACATTTACAATAAAAGCATTATGTTAAATAAATATGGAAATTTTTTATGGGTAAAATATTGTAAATTTGGTAAACATTATTTGGGAATTTTGTCTGAAATTAAAGTTCTATGTATATGAAAAAATTATTTGAAAGATAAGAATTTCACACTAGCTTAAAACTTTCTCTAGTGTTATAATGACTCCACAAGTCTTTAAAAAGTTAATTATTAAATAAATTAAAAGGAAGATAATTATAATGAAAATTTTAAATTGAAAGTAATATCCACTTGCAATTAATCAATTAAATTAATTTGTTTAAGGCATGTGTGTACAATCTCCAAAATGTCAGGAATATGACAAGATGAGGACAATAGTCTGAACAGTATAGTGTAAATAGTTACAATAACTTGTCTCAGAAATATAGACAGATAATTTGCTTAAATCTAAAATAGTAAAATATGTAAACAAATAATTTTCACCTGCAAAATCACCACTGATGGAATTTAAACTGAAATCCACTTCATGTGGGGAAGTTTAAAGGAATACCGAAGTATACAAAATTTATTTTGCATATTTCAAATTGACACAATTACAGAATGTCTATGCACTGCACATATTAAAAAAAGAAAATGATGTCATTCTTTTTGTATTTTGAAATTGACTTGAACCCTGATCTCCATCACACTTACCACTATTTATTTGTGTATAGTGGATTGCATGAATTCAAGTGTGTGTCAGAGAAACTTGATGGAACAATGTCTCATAGTTTTTCTCAAACTGATTTCAGTCCTAATCCTAAGAGACTAAATAGCAGCAACAGTTCATGCATTAATCAACAGAAATGAGCATTAGGAATGCTTCTTATTATTAACTGTCTTTGATCCAACCATTGTTGAATTCACTATGTCAACAATCTTGTGCTTGCATTAATGGCTTAATTTAAAAAAAAAGAAAAAAAAAAAAAAAAAAAAACAGGCATTTTTCAAAAATACCTTAAATTAAAATTACATTGTGAAATACTGAAGATATTTATTAATTTTAATATCAGAGAAAAATATTTTTATTATTATGAGTGAATTGTGAGTAGGTTATTAAGGAAATGAGGAGATCTGATTGTTTAATAAAAAAAATCTATGAAGAATATATTTATTACTTTTCTGTTAAATTTCAGTTTGTATACTGCAAGAATATGAAAATACAGTTTGTGTGTATATTAACAAATAATCATGTAAGCAATTTTTAGATGAGAGAAAAGTTAACACTTTTAAAGTTTTTTCAGTAAAAAGTGTTAATGTGAGCAACAAATATGTGCTTGTAATTAGAGCTAAAATTTCAACAGAAATAAAAGAACAATAGCAAGAATGTTGAATATTATGAATAAAAAAACCATCAAAAAGCATACTTAAAAAAACAGCAATGTTTGGAAAGAAAAATGATGCTTTACTAAATTTTCCTGGTGAAAAATTTGAGTAAAGATTTGATTAAGCTAATATGAATATTTTTCAACAAAAACATTTTTTTTTAATGTAATTTACTTTGTGTTTTATTTCTTAGGATACCTGTTTATTTGTGAGAAAAGAAATGTGTTAAAGGGGAAACAAGGAAAGTATCTGTAAAAGTGGGGGTTCAATTTACAGTATACAAATAATGGTATACTAGACCCCTGACTGCGTGTCTGACATTATGACACTGAATGTTCAAATTAATACTGCTAAACTGCACCCTGATTTTATGTATGTAAATGTAGGGGCAATTTTAAAGTATGGAAGCCTCAAAAGAAAAAAAAAAACTTTATTTGACTGAGTTAAAAACCTAGGAGATATAGATTTTGTAACATTACAAACTGAGTTTCTTATTTAAGTTCTTAAGCATTTAAAATTTATTTTTTAGGGTTCCATACTTTAAAAGTAGGGACATTATGAACTAGCAAAAATAACCCACTATGTACCAACCCACCAAATAAATAACTGAAGAGTTCAGTCTACCATCAATCTTAAATTGTACATCAAACCCCTGACCTAAGAACATTAAAAAAATAATTTCTAAGTGATGTCATAGTCATCCTAAGTATATAAAAATAAATGAGAAATATATCTTTTTCTACAAAAATACACATCTTAGGTTAACTAAATCTTTACCAAAAGTAGTCCTGTTATAAAAAGAATAAAATTTTTCTGAAAAACATGTGATTAACATTGCATCTGGGGCAAAGGTAATTAAACAGCTAGAAATAAATATTTAAAAGACAGAAAAAAAAAATTAAAAATATTAATATAAGAAAATCCAAATCAAGAAATCTTTTGTTCATAAGACTAAGCACATTATTCAAACAGGTTTGTGTAAAACTATTAAAAATAATAAAATACCTGGTAAGGCATATATTTTTGCTTAAGCTGTACTATAAAATAAATTGTAAAGTAAACATCAGATAAACATGATATAAGAAAATATACACAAAATATTCATCAAAAAAAAAAAAAAAAAAAAAAAATACTTTTCTCCAGGTATGTAAATTGATAGATTTGGGATCAGGGGTTAGTCAATATTTTTCTTTGCTGTTGTCATTCTGATCTAAATGTACAAATAAATACAGAAGAAACCATATAATGGCTTCTTCTTTATGTTGTACTGTAATTAAGAATTTACTTAAATTCTTTGCACTGAACTTTATCTTAGAAATGTTTTCTTTGCTTTTCAATATGAAATTTACTTTTGAAATATATTTTAATGACCCAGCTTTTGATTTGTGTATATTATAAGTATATACATCATCATTATACAATTGTTATTGTAAGTGTATGGAGCTAAGAGAGAAGCAGAAAAATTTATTTAAATTTCTAATTTGTGTGAATGATATGCAAGAAGGAGATAAAAACAAAACAAAAATGCAATCAATAAGGACCATCATTATAAATAATAAACAATTTTTTTTTCATTTAAATAATCAGTCACTTACAAAACAAGAAAGCATAGCCTATAAAAAAACATGTATTGCAACTTGCCAAAGAAGAGAAATTAGCAAAACAGAATATTTAATAATGTAAATGTAATGAAAATATTTAACTTTTCTGTTCACAGTAAATATAAACTGAGTAAGAATGACATTAACTGTTAAGCAAGAAAGATCTTGTATATATTTATACGAATATGAGAAGTTTAGGGAAGATATTGATGTGCCTATAGAACTGTTTTAGTCAAATGATGAAAGGAAAAACTGTTCTGAAGTTAAAATTTGTGAACAATTTTGCCTTTATGTAGAGAAATAAAAGACAAAAAGAAAAAAATAAAGAACAGAATTGTAGGAACATTATAAAAAGTATGAAAAATACTCTTAACCAATTTTCATAAGAATCTTTCGAATTCTTTTCTAAGAAAATCAGGTCAGTTAAAAAATTGTAGGGAGATACTGCAACTCAAATAAAATCAGAAGTAATCATTTCTCTTTTTCATCAATTTAAAAAAAAAAAAAATGTCACTTTTTTTAAAAGAAGGTTCTCTTATTGAAATGACACAGAAACTTAATATAAAAAAAGAGAAATAACATTGTACTCTCCCTCAATGAAACATTTGTTGGGTAAGTCCAGATCCATGTCCAGGATCAGTCATCGGATTTCTTTTCATCTTCATCCAGCTTCAGCTTTGCCAAGTCTGGCTCAACTCCTTCCACATTTACTTCAGCAGACTTTTCATCTCCAGAAGCAATGTTTCCCTCTGCAGATGATTTATCATCATCTTTAGAATCATCTTCTTTTGTCGATGTCTCCTCGGTTTTATTTTCTTCCCCTTCAGAACCAGCATAAATGATATCTTCAGGATTGGGACATTTAGGGTGAAATTCTTCAGTTGGATACATGGCTTGAAATATTGCTCTGGCTTCTTTGGGATAAAAATCCAGATCTAATTCCAAACCAGGTTGAGATGTTGCATAAAGATTACTCGGAGCATCTTGGCTCAGACCAAGATTTTGGTGACTCTTCATTTGAAAAAAGAATGACCAAAGAACTTTCGGCTTGGAACTTTCCTGATTATCATTAAAATATTCATTGTCAGGTTCAGCATGAGGCCCAGCCTGAGCATTAGGATCAAAATCAAAAAGAAACTGGCACATGTAGTCCAAGTCAGATTTAGGATCTGATTTGCCAATACGTGTTAAATGTACAACTGATAATCCGGAGGGGCAAACCATGGCTGAAGCTGGAAATTCCAACATTATACAGGATCTTTCAGGATCATCAGGTGGATAGGCATTTAGTACAGACAATTCTTCTTTACCTGACTGCATTAAAGCTCTATCAGTCACTAAAATGGCTCGAGATATTATCTGTGCATCGGATGACTTGATCATGTTCTCAGGTAAATAGCTTGGTTCCATAATCAAATGTTTACATTCTATTCTCTGTCCTTCATTTGTAATAATTCCAGTGACTTTATCATTATTAGTGAGAATTGAATCCACAGACAAGTTCAGACAGTAAATACCTCCCCAGACAGCACACATCCGACTGAAGGCTTGTGGAAGCTCTCCAACCCCATAAATAGGGGTTATGAAGGGAAGGTTTCCATAATGGCCAACTGATGAAAAGAATTTTTTAGCTAATGCAATACCCTCTGTTGTGCTAGTATTTTCTTTGGTCATTGTTATCGCTTTGTAGATGTAGTGTTTAACAATTGGAGAGAATTTCTTACTGAGGTATTCAGTGAAAGGTTTGTCAGCATACTCCTCGATCAAATCATCCGTTTCTTCTCCAAGACATATTTTAACAAATTTCATCATCATTCTTTTGTCAAGCATCGTTACAGCTTTGGAGTTGAATACATGTGCCCTCGAACATGGAACACACTGCACTTGATCATCATGAATAGTAAGAATGCGAGATACCAACTTGAACTCACAATATCGAGAGATGTCCGACTGTATTAGTAATCGTACCATATCACCACTGCTGTATAACACTCGTGGTGCCAAATCAAAGTTGAAACGTCTCCACTGCTTTTCAAATTCATCAACAGTCCATCTTTTGGGGTGGCTCTGCCCTGTTTTTTGTTGCAAACTCTCCTCATCTACTTTTTGGTCTTCTGGTCTTTTGTTGGTGTCGTGCTCTGGGGTGCTTTTTTTGTTTTCAGGAGCAGAAGCAGCAGTAAGTTGATCGTCGATTTCGAGTACTCTGTCTTTGGTCGCCGCCTCCTCCGTATCCGCTGGGCATTCCGCGTGTGGGCTTTTTTCCTCTTTACCTTCATTATCATTTCCCGACTGCTGCTGCTGCTGCTGCTGCTGTTCGGGGCACTCGGAGGGTTCTTCCCCATCTTGGGCCCCTTCAGCTGGTTTGGACGTAACTTGGCATTCGACAGTACCATTTTCACAAGTTTTGTCGTCGTTCCCACCACCTTTAAAAATGTGGTTGTAAGACAGATGGACGTTGGAGACTCCTTCGTCCGATCTGGGAATCGTCAAAGAAGCCTCTCCGTCTTGGAGAAGGCTGTTGGTGTCAACTGGTGGACTTTTTTGTTGTTGTTGTTGCTGCTGCTGCTTCTCTTCAGTACTGTTACCTTCCACCTGTTGGAGATTCTCACCAAATCCTAAAGTCTCGGCCCAGTTCTGTAGGCTGCGAAGACTAAAAGACGACCAGCGACTTCCGTAGTAGGCGTTCCTGTCTATATGTAAGACTGATTTGCCGATCCGAGATAGAGCAGCGGCGACAATACTTTCTGTTAAGCCAGTGCCAACGACAATGGCATCAAAACTGGAAGGTAGGCCGTCGCCCATTATAACAGACTACCCCAAAAAATCAAGAGGTAAAAAAAAAGGTATCGGAATAAATTCCAAACAACTTTCACCCAATTGGTATTCAGTTATATAAAGAAAACAAACATATATACCTGGGGTTTGCTTTCTCATAAAAGGGACCACAAATATTAGGAAAAACTCGCATATAATATGGTACCGAAATATGTCAGTCTCGTATCAAACTAAGGCCCTGTGTTTTTTTTTAAGTTACGCGAATTATGTCCCCTTAATGCACTCTTTAGTTCCGGTTAAAGAGCCTAGGGAGTTTTCTCCCCTTGGTTAAATGCATCAAGCTATATTGGTAGTTTCTAGTTCTGTCGCCAGATGTCAGTCTTTTGAATTACCAATTTATCAAGAACCGACTTGATGGTTGATAATACTTGAGGTAGGTCAATAATATATGATGACATTAATTAAGAAGGGAAAATAGCTGTGTCGTGAAATTTTGAGTTAAAAGGAATTATTTGAACCGAGAGAAAGTGGAAGAAAAAAAAACAAAGTTACGCAGTTATCATTGGGATGTAATGAAAGTTGATGGTTGTCCACGATTTAATTTTTTTTTTTAAATGATGGGTAGTCTGTTTTTCTTAGTTTTACTTTTCATTTATTTACAAAATCTGTCGTTCAAATCTACTTGATCATTCGTGAATGTTCAACATCATGAGTTTTCTTATCTGGTTGGAAAAATGTTTATATTTTGAATTTAGATTTCCTGTGTTATTCGGTCGCAGTTAAAAAAAAAAAGTGTTTCATGAAAAATGCACAAATAAAACATCCACTCCAGGTGTCCTTACTGTCAAAAATATCTTAAAATTGAAGATATTTATTTAAGACTTAAATAATAGGTAATCTTTCTTTTTTTCTTCTTTTACCCAGTCACTGTATTTTGTTTTATCCTTTTCTGAGTTTAGAAAGCTTTCTTAAGAAAAACAATATCAACCAAAACAAGTTATTTATTTTTCACTTGCGTTGAATTCACAAAATTAAATTAAAAATGATTTGTTAAATTAAATATTGTTTAAAACAAAAATGAATTTCCCTATCTTGAATCAATCATAATGATTTTTTTAAATCTAAATTTTAGTTTTAATTGCTTTAAGCTTCTGCCTTAATAGATGAACATTCCTGAAAGATACTGTGATGAAATAAAATTACTTTTCCACTCTTCCTGTTATTTTCTTTCGTTTTCTTATTCCTCCTTTTAATCATTTTCTCAGTTTCTTTTTTTCCTTTTAATCATTTTTTTTAAATGTTTTCTTTTTATGAAAATAACTTGAAGAGTCAATATTTTCCCCACTGAATTTCCTGATGAAAGAGACACAATCTTCTACATTTTTATCATAAATAATAATAACTCAGATATGGAAGTGATGTTGTTTATGAATTAATTAAATTTAACTGCTAAAAGCATTTTAAAATTTTTAATATTAAATTGACTTTTTTAAAGTTATTTTTGCGCGATGTTGGAAAGTACACTATTATTATTTTTTTTTAATCTTCCTGTACTTCGAAAAATAGGAGTCTAGTGTAAACAAAACTTTACTTTATTTTTCGATCTGAAATTTATTTTCAGTTTAGGTTATTTTATCCTTAGAAGCCTTTAGTTTAAAAAAGTTTAAAATTTATCTAACGCTTTTATTTATTTATTTTTCATAATTAGCATTTTTAGAGTATTTTTGGTTTTTAACGTTTCAAACTGTTTTTACATCCAGTTTTTACTTATCTCCCATACATCTGATGTAAAATTCTTGAACTAAAAACTCATATTATAATTCTTTCTTTAGACATGAACGTTTGAAATGCAGTTATTTAAATTTCTCCCCATAAAAAAAAAAACAAAAAATTAAATTTAATTCAATTTTTAATTTTATGACCAATAAATTCAGAGAAGAGGAAAAAAACAACAATAATAATAAAAACAAAACATGTAAAATATGAACATGTAAAATACCGGAAAGGAGATTTGAATCGCTAAAATCGACTATATAATGAAATTATTGATTTACTTTGTCACGTAAGAAGATAAGTTATATAACTCTCAGACCTTTAATTACTTTTTTTTTTCTTTATCTTACTGTCAAAATCATATTCATAATATGAAATGATTTTTTTAAATTTTTCAGTTAAAACGCAAACCAAACGCTAACTAAATTTGGCAATGAACTTTTTAAATTTAGTTTTTAAGTTTTTTATTTCTTCCAAATGAAAATGATTTTTGCTTGCTTCAGGAATTTTTCTTTGTCCTTAAAAAATCAAATGCCAATTGAAAAGCGGTGTCTACTGGTAAGATTGTTTCTAGGACTAACATTTTCAGCTGATAAAGATTGAATCAATTGCTAAGTCTGCAGCTGAGAAAGTTGGTTCACTATGTGGTGTGCTAGACAATTTTTCTTGCCAGAATCTATAAGTTTACTATTCATCTTTACTTTGAACATTGCTGCCACGTCCGGTTGGGTGTTTCTGATAAGATACTTGATAAAATCTAAAGAATCTGCAATGTTATTGGTCCTGACCTGCCATCTTGGATTCAGTCCCTTTCCCACTGTTGTAGCATAACTCTCCTGTGCCTTTTCTATAAATACTTTCATGGTAATTGTTCTGATGAACTTAGAGCTATGGTACCTAGATTTTATGAATTTAAGCACAGTATTAGATTGGTACCAAGGTCTCATCATTTTACAATTGAAATGGCTGGATGCGACCTAAGTTTTTGCTTGTAGAATTCTCTTCTGGCTTCTTGTCAACTTTGATCTTCAAAAATTTAAATGCAATATCAATTGTTATCTTATGTCTTAATTCTTGTTCTTTTGTTGTCCTCTCTCCTTTTTCCTCATTCTCTAACACTCAATAACCCTTTATCTTCTAGTTGCTTTATTGCCTTGCTTGATGTGAAATGATTAATTATTTTTTTTGGTTGTCACATTGAATTTTACAAGTTAATAACAACAAAAAAAAAAAAAGAATGCTGTTGCTTTTTTTTTTTTTTTTTTTTTACTCTTTGATATAAGCAATTGTTTACTAAATTTACAAGTGGTGACATTGTAAACTCTAACTAGTTAATCAATGTTCTGTGGTTGAATTATTTATCATAACTGATTTCAACCTAAAAATTTACAATCAAGTAACTTACGTATTCTTAATGAGGTTCTGTCTCTTGAATGTCTACTGAGACTAAAGTTGAATTCACGTATTCATACCATTGCTAAAGATGCTGGACGAATGGTCAGTCCCTTGTACTGCTCTAGAAAGTAACAGCCATCCTCTACCTGTACAATGTCAGAGCAGACTGTTCACATGACCTTGTAGGTGATGAATTATTTTTCAGCCTGCAACCCCTTTGTCACTGACAAAATGTTGTTAGTTCTTTGCTATTCTATTGCTATTTTCATGACAAATGTTCAGACCAAATACATTACTTAGTTCCACTAGTTCAGACTGTCTAAGCTAGTAACCACAATGCCACATGGACAGCATCAACTCATTTCATTTTCTTTCTATTCCTATGGTAAGAATGGAGTTCCACACTAACAGCTTCTTCCCAATAACTTATTTCATGAAAGTTTCATGATTAAATTACTGAGGGAGGATAATTTCAACAAAATGGAGAGTGGCAGAGATTCACTAAAAAAAAAAAAAATAAATGAATGAAGTCGGAGTGTTGATGCATGGACAGTCCAATCCCATCAGCCATTGTCATATTCATCCATTTTATGAGAATATCATATAAAAAGTAAAAGTATAATACTTGCATTAATATTAATATACTCTCACTTATACAAGGCATGTTTTGAAAAGAAAAACTGATTTCCTAACAGTAATTATTCTTTTTTTAATTGATCAGTTTTGTACTTATCCAGTCAAGTTTAATTATTGATTTCTCTATTACACTTATCTGATAGTTATTCATTTAAAAAAAAATGTGGACAGAAAGTTTAGGAAAATATTAAGTGATTTTTTTTTTTTTTTTTTTTTTTTAAAAAAAAATCTCATTTTTAAAATTTTTTTTCATATTATTTTTTTAATAAGATTTCTCAAATATTCAGGCTGGTAGATGAAAATAAAAATACAGTTTAATAAATAAATGGAGTATCTACACAAATATAGGTATCCACTAAAAAATAACGTTTAAGTAATAAAATATGTACGATTAATTTAAAAATCTATCACTTTACAAATTGATAAAATTGTTTACAACTGGATGTTTTTGGCTTTTATCTAAAGAGAAAAAGAAAGGGAAAAATATAAATAAACTTCTATTTCCTGAATAAATGTTGCATTCCATTTTATTATTTAACAAAAAAAAATTAAAAGGACTATGTTGGATATTTATTGTTAATTTCTGAATTGCTTTAGTGAGTACTTCAGATGAAATTTTATTTCTTTTGAAGCATTAAAAAATTTTTTTCAGGAACCTTTTTTTTTTTTTTTTTTTTTTTTTCCTCTCTCTCATAGCTCTTAAGAACTTCATAGTGATAAATATTTCCACACTTTAATTTATTAACTGTTATATTAATATTTCTGTTTTACAACTTAGTACTTGAGTTTTGCAGAATGTTTTGGTTTCATTTTGACATATATTATTTGGATTGAATAATAAAGAAAATTGTCTGAGTAAAACTTTTCATAAAATTAAATCTATCAAATTTATTTAAGAGGAAAAAATTTAGAAATATTTACTTATTTGGTGTAATTTTATCACTATTTATAAACAATTTGAAACCACTGTAAATTTCTTAGCATGACCCAACATCAGATTTGTTTTTTCTTTTTAATCTCTTTATATGAAAGTGTTTTTGTATAACTTTTTTTTTTTTTTTTTTGTAAAATGTAAATTTATGTTTTCATTTTAATTTTCCAAATTATTCTGAGTATGCTAAATTTATGGAATGCAAAAGTTCCATATCAGATTAAAGATAAATATATGATTTGTTTCAATTTTATTAAATATAATGTGTTTGGACAAGATCTTTACATCTCTTTATTTTCTTTGATAAAATTTCAGTTTGTTTTTATTTTGAATTTGATAAATAAAAGAAAATATATACATTGGCTATTTTGAATGTTTTCCTTTTTGTAAGTTATTCGAACTGAACTGACCTTGGATGAGTCAGTTTTCATTGTTCCACTATGAACAATTGGTGCCTTGCTGTTTACTTAAATTGACAAGTGTATTGATACATTGAAAAGAATCTTCCCTCTCTAACCAATTACTCACCAGTAACAAAAACATACAAACAGTAAATGTACCCAAATATTTAGACAAATATAAAAATTGAACTGTAACTTCAAGAAAACAAAAAAAATCTTTTTTTGTATATTTTGATGCTTTGATAAGGCCTTGAAAAAATGTGTGGACTGAAATATTCTCAGGTTGATGTTTTCTGTTTGTAAATTGAAACTAATTCTCAAATTATTATTTTTTTTTGTTTTTTTTTTCATTTCATCTCTTAATTGTTATTTTTCTTATGAACTATTTTGTGTTCATACTTTGTAGAAATTCTGTAGATTTTGTAAATTTTAAAGATAACCTGTTGAAATTTTTTTTTTTTTTTTTTTTTTCATAATGCTTTAAAACTTTTTCTGATACTATTCTGCTGTTGATCTTAGTGAATACTAAGTGATATTTTCATTAGCCTGAAGAAAAATTATTTAGCCTCAATTTGTCTCTTTTTCTTTTTCTCTCTCTTGTGTATACATTTATATTGTTCATATTCTGATGATATTTCCCAGCCACTCTGATTAACTATTTTTTTTTTTCATTTGTAAGATTCCAATTATATATATTTACATTTTATATATATATATATATATATAACAAATAATTTTAAATTATTTTATTAATTCTAAACAAGGGTAACATTTGAATTTCTTTCTTTTCAGATGTTCAAAGATTTTGAAATAATTCGTTGGGACAAACATTAAGGCAATTTTTCACATAGCAAATAAAGCAAGTCTTGAAAAGTTGGCCATCCGTTGCAATATGGCTGACACCGATTTAGATAATGTGGAATCTAAAGTGTCTGCTTTGTCAGTTGAAGATAAAGAAGACAATAAGAATGTGGAAAAGCATTCCAGTCATTGTGATGATAAAATAAAAACTGAATTCTGTGATAAACAAAATGGCCAGACGGACTCTGAAGCAGAATCCTGCAGTGATGATGAAGGTGTTCATTTCAAGGATGCTACTGACCCGGTCAAGCAAGCAGAGGGAGCTGCAGCTATCAGTACAGATGATGAATACCATTCAGCTGATGAAGGGGAGCCTCATGTGGATGAGGAGCAACGAAAAGAGATGGAAGCTCAGTTAACAGATGAAGAAAAGAAGGTGAATTTATATATATATATATATATATATATATATATTCTTTAAAAACTATTTTTGTAAATGTAATATCACAAATAGAAGTTCCACTCAAACAGCTTCTTCCTGTGAATCATTGACCTGTGTAACTGACACCCAATAGGATGCTTCCCCGATCATCTGTTCATGACTAGGATTAACCACTTCCTTCTACTCTTATACATACAAATGTCCCCAAAACATAACCCTCGACCTCCAGGCCTTCTAAAGAGTGAACCTTGCTGTAAAAAAAAAGTTTTAAATGAATGTTAAAACTTTCATAATCATGATGCAACAAGTTCTAGTGTTAAAAAAAAGAGAAACTGCTCATGGTTGTATTTTGTTGCTGACTATTTGAACCTGGTCTTACATAGTTTCAGGTTTTATCATCACTGCCTGCTCATTTTCCCATAATGTCAACTTTGCACACACTTTGCCCATTGTTATTTCCTGCACTAAAAAATATTTCCAGTGGAAAGGTATGAGGGGAAAATATTGAATGTGCACAAGGTTTTGCAATTTTTGATATAAAAATTTGGGCAATGTTTAACCTTTGTATGTGCAAAAAGAAAAGGGTGCGTGAAAAAAAACGTTTTTTTTTTTCCTTTGACATTGCTTTTATTTTAACTATTTTTCACTATTTGGCAATGTTTCTTGTTTTAAGAAATGCTTATTAGAATCGTAATAAAACCAAAATTATATGAAAGTGAATTTATAGATTTCCTTTGTTCATGAGAATTTAAAATAAAATTAATAAACTTTTTATTTATTAGATTGTTTATCTACAAGAATAATTTTATATTTACAGCATTTTAAAAACTAATGCAATTGTATTAAAGCTAATGCAATGCTATATCTATCATTTACCAATTTATTTACTCTTTAATATTTCAAGATATTTTTGTGTAATTTTGGTAAATATATCTGTTACAATGAGATGTCAGTGTTATTTTCATTTTTTGTAATTTAGATGGCAATTTGTCTGTTGCACAGTGTGTGGGTGTGTATTCTGTTAAAGAAAAACCCGTTGAAATATTCTCTTTTGCAAGGACTCAAAGTGAGTCTTATATTTTCAACTAAAATACCAACATGATAACTGTATACTTTCATAAAAGTTGTAGAAATAGAATTTCAAGTTATTGGGTTGTCCGGAAAGTTCATGCTTATTTTTAATGGAAATTAAAACAAAATTATTGCATTAAATATTAATATATTAATAATTAATATTAATTATTAAATGTCTTGTGAATATAGCGGGTAGGGTAACACATCCCAGCTAAGCTGAAACAATTTTTGCTGGGTTGCCAAAGAAACGTGAGGTCTGGCATTATCCTGATGGAAAAACAACACCTTTCCTGTTTGCCAATTCTGGGCATTTTTCTTGAATTGCTGCCTTTTAATCCATCCAATTGCATGCAGTACTTTTCAGAATCAATTGACTGGTTACTTGGCAGAAGCTCATAGTACAGGATTCCTTTCCAGTCCCACCAGATGCACCTCATGACTTTCTTAGAATGAAGACCTGCTTTTGAGGTGGCTAAAGTTGGTTCATGTCACTTAGCCCAGGATCTTTTTCACTGAACATTGCTGTAAACAATCAATTTCTCATCACTTGTCACAATTTGCTTCAAAAACGGTGTATTTTCAATGCGTTTATACAGCAAATCAGATGAAAAAAAAAAGATTCTTTTCACTTTGATCATGTGGTACCCAAACATCGTAGCAGTTTGAGTATTAGGCTTCACTAAATGCTCATGGATTGTGGATTTTGATAAATTTAGTGTTTCTGCCAGTTTCTATGTTATGTTATGTTATGTGGGTTATTCTCAGTCAATGTCTTCCTTTGGTCGTCATCTGGAGTGGCGGAGGCGGGGGGATCTGCTTGAGTGTTCTTCATCAATAAGTCTACAATCATCAACTCTAAACTTAACGAACCACTTCCATACAGTTCTGTTAGCTAAAGCACATTAACCATACACAGCACATTTTTTTTTTTGTTCCTTGTGATGTATTTTTGCATTTATGGTAAAAACAAAATATCAAGTGCCTAAAATGTACCTTATAATCTTCAATTTTCATAGGGATGTAAAATTGACATAAATTAAGTAATTTTAAACTTTCTTTCTGAAGAGATAATTTGAAGTGTGCTCTAATCAGAAATGCAAGCATATTATATCTATTAAATTTGATGTGTTCTAATGGAAAGACAAAAAAATCAGCATGAACTTTCCAGACAACATTTGGCTCACTAATATGTGAGAATAGATTGTTCTTTTTTTTTATTTTTGTATCTGATAGCTTCTGTTTAATCTGTAGGATTAAAAATGAACTCATTTGATTCTTATTGATCATGATTATGAGTCCTGTAACTCATCAGTCATAGTGGAAGGGCACCATATGTACTGCAATCACAGTAGAAGTGGTGTCTCTTGGACAGGATAACCTGAAGGAACCCAGTCTTCTCAAGGCTAATTTGAATTCAGTTCTCTTTCTCCTACACCAGTTGCACCCAAGGCTATAGAACTCAGTCTGTCTTGCTATTTACCTGTATCTGGCTAGAGAAGAGATGGATTCATACCTTTCTCAAGAGTATTAGCATGTAAGTGAATATAATTAACTTGACTGGAATTCAAATTCGGCTTTCCAATTCCTCAATCTGAACTACAATCAATTACTCCATCATGCCTCCATATATTGATTCTTATAGGATTTCCAAAAAAATATTTGTTAGGAATTCCTGTTTTTTCTTACATGACAATATTGTATGGATATTATAGTCACATTCCTGAAAAAAAGACAGTGTTTAAAAACATTGGGTTTAAAAAGTAATGCCTATTGAAGGTATCATGAACTCCTTTATAAACAAAAAAAAATTGCTAAAACCTTAGTTGGATTGAAAGGGTTAATATAAATAAAATTATCCAGTGAAGGTAAGTAATTTAAATTGTTTAAGCTTAAAGCATCTTTTAGAATTAATTTATTTCCATTAAACCTGACTTGTAGTATTAATTTTTATCTTTTTATGAACTTGTTCAATTGTAATATACATTTGTAATGTCTAAAATGTCATTTAGTCAATGAGAAATTTCATAAATTGTATTTTGTTTTTATAACATCTGTATACATAAAAATAGTTCCTTGATTTCTCTTAGTATAATGTGTATATGTTTAAATCAATTATGTTTGGTATTCGTACACTTATATCCAACAACTCACCTCATCTTGTTGGCCTAACCTAAACAATAAATTTAATTCTATAATTCTGTCAGATTTATTTTATTTCTTTAAGGCAAAGAAAGAAGTGCATTAGAAAAGTAATCTTCATCTAATATCACAATCTCAAATCTGTTTGGTTTAATGTTTGATTTACCAATGGATTTATTTATTGTAATCTAAGCAAAATGTAAAATTTTCTCTTTGCTTTTCTGTTTTTAACAAATTCTTTCATGATTATAGGAACGACAAGAAGAAGCCCAGTCACTTAAAGAAAAAGGTAATCAAGAATTTAAAGAATCCAGATTTCAAGAAGCAGTTAAACTTTACACAAAAGCTTTGCTGATTTGCCCTCTGACCTTTTCCAAAGACAGATCTATCATGTTCTCTAACAGAGCAGCTTGTTACATGAGAATGGTAAGCAAATTTAAAGAATTATTTCTTGAAATGAGCACAAAATTAAATTTTAAATTTGATGTTTTGTTACATTTTTATTGGTTCTTAACACATACAAAGCATTTTGTATTTCATTTATAAGTTAACTGAAAAATCTCTAAATTGGTTTCATGTTTTTCCAACATATATACCATTTATGTAACATTTAATTCAGAAGATATTTTGAAGCACAGTTTAAATTGTGTTAAAGATAAGTGTTGATTTCATTCTTGACCTGTAAAATAATGAAAACTAATTTCAGTTTATATCTTAAAGTTTAAATGTCTTGCAGGAAAAATTAGCTAACTGTTAATCCTGATTATCCTGTTGTATTTTTTTTGAAGTCTTTATCATCCAATGGTCTGAGTTTGTCTTTAGTTATTTCTTTTTATATTTTCCTAATAAATCTGAAATAATGTGTGGTTGTCTGCTGTCTAATTAATTTCACCTTCATATGACATGGTTCAATTGCCATAACTTTTGTGTAACATAGTGTAATTTTCTGTAAGATTCTAGAATGGTTGTAGGTTTCATGTTTGTCATTCATGGAATCTCTAGGGGAAGGAATTAGTACCAAGTCTCATCTCCAAGTAATAATTGATAGTTACCATGTAGTGGTAGCAAGATCCTGTCAATCATTGTAGCATGCCACTAACAAGAACTTTATCATGATCATCTACTGATTAGATATAGTGCAGGGACAACTGGATTCATACATCATCCTAGAGAATTAGTAAAAATTGAACACTGTTCACTACATCTGCTTTTCATGTTGATAACAGTTATACCACCTCATGTTAAAGGCAATGACAAAAACTGAAAAAATAAAGCATTTAAGTTTTAACTTGAATACTTTTTTACAAATTATTGTAGGTACCTCCACGCGATTGCTAAGAAAAGAGTATAGCATGATGAAAAAGATGCCAAACTTGACAAAAACAAAATTTTATCGTCTAAATGTTTGTTATTTTTAAGAGGAAAGATCAAAGTATTTTTGGGGTATTTTTTTTCCATTTTTTTAATTGTTCCTAGCACGTCTGAAATTTTCATTAAAAATTTTTTTTTTTTTTTTTTTTTTGAGTCAGCAAAATTGACCATTTTTTTCCATTTTATAAAAAAAACTGGAAATCTCACTTTGAAATTCTTTTAAATATCAATTATCATTTTTTCAAAACTTATTTTAAGAAAATCAGAAATTATAATGTTTATTTAAAATATTTTGCACCGAAAAGATGTTGAAAATAAAACAAAGCAGGTCCGCGTCACTTGACGGGTGATGAATGACATATTGACGGATTTGTTCTACGGAAGGAGAAAAGTGAAATAATTTACATTTAAGTGAACAAATTATTTACCTCATTATTTTTAACAAAAACTTTGAGCGCTCTAATTTTTTTTTCTTTTTTTTTGTACTTAGCTTTCACCTTTACGTTTATGATGCTTTATGGAAAATATATTCTAAAGAAATTAAAATAAAACTGTTAAGAGTGATATTAAATTTCATATTTCATAAGAAAGGTATCTAATTAATTTATAGGTACCTTTATGAAATTTTATCAGAAGTGTACATAAAATACTATAATTTTATGTACATTTATTACATTTTACTGTGTTCTTTGTATTTCCATTCATTTTATTATTAATTTTGATATTTCATTTATGGAAAAATGTCATAACTGAGATTATTATAAAACTCAAATAAATTTCATAAGATGGTACTGATACTTGTAGGTACCCTTCTCAGTTGAAATTGAAAAATCAAATTAACTTCTCCACACGTTTCGCAAAAGTAAAGGCCTTAACAGTGGAGAACAATGCTTAACTCAAATAACGCAACTTAATTGTATTCTGGTTGGTCTTCCGTACTTTATAAAACACAAAATCACATTTTTTAATTACTGCAGGTATTCTGATTAGTCAAAATGATACGATTTACAAGGTACAAAAAAAAAAAAAGATCTATCTCATAAGGAGACTTAGGAAACCCGGTGCGGCTTTTAACTAATTTTATAATATTTTAACAACTTAAATGTAAAAAATCTATTATAATTAAGAAATAACAAATAATTGCATTAAAAATTCATTTTTCATCGGAAAAATTTTTGGCTTTCAGAAAATATTATCCATATTCATAAAAACAACTAAAAGCAAATAAAAGCATTTGAAATTAAATAATATCTTTGTTTTATTGAGTTTTGTATGTTACAATTAAGAGCTGATTTTCAGGTAGGGGGGTCCAATTAAAAAAAAACATTATTTGCATTCCTCAAAGCATTGTAATCACTAAACCCGATGCGATTGAATTTCTAGCATTTTCATAAAATTAGTTATCGGGAGGGATATAAATATTTAAAAAAATATTTCTGTCATGACTTTAATAAAAAAACATATTTATAATAATTACGATCATCTGTGAATAGTTCCTGAAAGTTTCATTAACATTCGACAATTATTTATATTTTTGCAAGATTTTCCAAATTAATGTGTGTCATACCAAAAAAACATGCTAAAAATTGTCTGTTATTTACTCGTTCCACTGATACAAAGAGAAACAAGGTTTTTTTAATCAAAATTTAGAATGTTCTAAAAAGAAGGAAAAATTTTAAAAAATAATTAAAATAAACTTTGGTCTTTCCTCTTAATAATAACATAAGCATTTAGACAATAAAATTTTGTTTTCGGCAAGGTTGGTGTCTTTTTCATCAAGCTATGCTCTTTTTTTAGCGATTTCGTGGAGGTACATAAATTGAGATTTATGCTTACTTAAGTCCATAGTTGCTATTTTGATTCAATTTTAATATATTTTTGACTTTAATTACTCCATAATGTTGACTATCATTCATTATCTGAAGGCCCTATCTATTTTTAAATCTTTTGTGATAATACATTTTTTTTTCCCCTCCAAAAAAAAGTCCAGGAACAAAAAAGCCATTGAAGATTCTTGTTCTGCTCTGGAATTAAATCCTAATTACATGAAAGCTTTGATAAGAAGAGCAGAACTTTATGAGAAAGAAGAGAAACTGGATGAAGCATTGGAAGATTACAAGAAGATTGTGGAAATGGACCCTTCTCAGCATGCTGCTCGAGCTGCTTGTTTGGTAAGTAATGCACACAATATTTTAGAGAAAAGGAAAAAAAAAAAAAGAAACATTGAAGCTGCAACATATACAATGATAACTGAATGTAGGACATCATCAAAATCAGGTGCTGTTTCGCTAAACACACTATTTTAGAAAAAGTAAAAAAAAAAAAATACTTTGGAGGCATTACTGTAAACGGTTTTCAGGTTATCAAAAATGTAATTGTTTTCTAATGTAGTTAAAGTTTATTCATAGAACTTTGAAAATCTGGTTTATCAAATAAAAATTTTCATATGTATGCCTGCAAATTCAAATTGGTGTGTATCTGTAGAGAAAGAAGTCAGTTACTGGCAACAATTGCATCATAAATGAATTTGGGTTTAATATAAAAATTGAAAATTATAAAACAAATTTTAAATATCTATGAATTATTTGAGTTGTAAGTTTAGTGAAGACTTCTGTCATACGCAATAGCATCATTGAAGGATTTTTCTTTTTCTTTTTTTTTTCAGCGGCTTCCCTCTCAGATTGAGGAACGTAATGAGAAGTTGAAAACTGAGATGATGGGTAAGTATATCTTTTGTTTTATAGCTAATGTTGAACTTGTGTTTATTCTCTTAAATCTTGATCTATCTAAAGTATTGGCTTTTAAAATGACTGAATTGGTTCTAGAAGCTGAGGATAAATAGAAATACACTTGACAATGTTTTATCTCGGTAGCAAGCATACCTTGGAAATATTGTGTGTTCAATTCCAGACCACTGAAATAAAACAAGTCAGGAATATAAAAACTGTGTTTATACACTATTATAGTCTATTAAGTGTACAATAGTACCAAAATAAAAAATACCCAAATTCCCATTTTTAACTGGCCACCAGGTGTAGATTTTCATATAAAATTCATACCAGTAACACTGTTAAAATATGATTCCAGGTGAATTTGCTAAGGAACAAAAACAAAAATCCTACAGTAAATAAATTTAAAGGGAAAAAAAAACAAACTTTTGTATTGTGGTGGTGGGAAAAGCAGGTTTTTGGTTTTTTTACTTTTTTATTTAATGTGTATTTAAAACAAATTGATTGGAATAGATTCCTCAGTTAAGTATGATGGAGCAGAATTGCTAGCAGCTGATAAAGTTTATATGAGGGATTTTTTTCCTTAAGTGGGGGGACAACCCTTAAAACATGTAACTTTTTAATGATAATTTCAGGTATGAACATCCATACTTACAAATTCTGCATGCATATGCACATACAAAAACAAATCAAAATTTTTAAAAAATATTCTGGTTCATCAGATTGTAATAAGCTTTAAATATATTAGTCAATATGGTTTTACTTAATAACAATATTTCCTAAGAGTTACACCATTGAAACTGAATTTTAAAAGATTTGAAAACTTTATAAATTATTTAATTTAAAATTGTAAAAAAAAAAATGAAGACAAATTTTGTAAAAATTAATTTTTCATCAGGCAGTATTGTCCTTAATATGTATTATTCATAAAAGCAATTAAAATCTATTACGTTAAAAAAAAAAGAAGATTTTTTTAATAAAATTTAAAAAATAATTTAATTCATTTGTGACTAAGTCTTGAAAATTTCATTAAAATCTGACTATTTGATTTTTGCAAGAATTTCCAAATTGATATCTGTCACCACAAAAATAGGGCTAAAATTTGCTTGGCTAAGACTTAGTACATCTGCTGATGGAAGAAAAACAAAATTTTCACTCAAAATTTCTATTGTTCTAAAAAGGAGTAAAAAAATTTTTAAAATTTGACCATTCCTCTTAATAATAAAACTGTTTTATTTTTTTGGAGCATATTTTCATCATGGTATTTTTTTTTTTTTTTTTTTTTTTTAGTGAGTTCATGGAGGTACCTAGTTTTTTAACTTTAATTTTTAGAAAACTTTAGAAAATCAAATAATTTTCATTTCAACAGCTAACAAATAAATATTCAGTTTTATATTGGCTGTAAATATTTGAATTTATCCAACAAAGATTTGAAATTTAGTAGAGTTATGGTTAAGAAAAAATACTCTTGTGGCTGCTAGAAATTTACAATATTGATGTCCAAAAACTGTTTTATCCTTTGTTTAGAAAGGAAATGTTTCACAACTGCTGCAAGCCTGAAATAGGGCCAACAATCAAATGATGCTGAAAACAATGGTTTCTGTTTGATTCTGTAGTAAAAGTGTCAAGCCTATTGTGTATAAAAGACACACTGGGTACTGTAAGCAACCTTCTACAATCCGAAGTACAATTCCATTTTAAATAACCCAAAATGAGTTGATAAGCCATAAGAAACAAATCCATCAAGTTTAATGTTTAAGAGGAAAAAATTTTCTTTGTTCAGGTCTCTTATGATTTCCAGTCAAATTTTAGGACTGCAAATTTATTATTGATGAAGAAGTTTATTCATTCAAATAAGAATGAAACAACAAAGAAAATCCTTTTGATATTTTCAAATGATAAAATGAAATTCTTTATTTGCAGGTAAACTAAAGGATTTAGGAAATATGATTTTGAAGCCATTTGGACTGTCAACGGACAATTTCCAGATGCAAAAAGATCCAAACACTGGCTCTTACTCTGTAAACTTTAAACAAAATGTGAATGCCTCCTGATTTGTCAGCCATTTAACTGCTCCCTGGAAAGAGATGAGGGAAAGGACAACAACCACGTAGCTGATATGGAAGAGGATTCAAGCAGCTAAAAAAAAAAAAAAAAAACACCACCACAGTTAATATTTTATGAATATAGTCAAAAATAGAATTTTGTTTTTTGTTTTGCTGTCCTCTTCTCCGTCCACCATCTCCCATGCAAGGTTGCATATAATGTATAGAGACTGATTTTTAAATGAGTTTAAAGTGATCACAAAAGACATGATCATTTTGAAGATGCATATTACTAAAGCAGTAATTTGTAAAAAGGTGCAAACAAATTGATAACTTTTTTTGGCAAACCTCTGTATGCCATGCTTATTGGGTGTAATACAGGATTACAATTGTGATGGATTCTATAAACAGTTGTTTTTTTTTTTTTTTCACATATACTGCAATTTTATTGCACAGAATATTAGAAAATTTTGAAATAATGAAACTAAAATCTTGCCCCCCCCCCATCTTAAAAATGATTTTTTTTTTCTGTATTCAAATGTTACCATTTTTGATCTTTTATGATGTTACATTCTTTTTTTTTTTTTTTTTATAAAAAAAGAAACATCATGCTTTTAAATATTAACAATAAATATTAAGTTTGAAAAAATTTTTTTTTTTTTTTTTCCTCAAATCAGTTTTTAGTGTGGAGTTATGTTTGGGCTTTTAAGAGAAAATTTGAGATTTACTTATAAAAACATTATGGTAACATTTGAAGAATTCTTGTGCATTTATTGGCTTTTACAATCTCACCATTTGATGTTTTTTCTTCTCACAACCAAGACATTAAGAGGATTTATTACTATAGAATATAATTATATATGTTGCAGTTTATTATTAGCTAAAAATTAGAAACTAGAGATTTAATTTGGAATCATGAGTCAAAGAAATGGTAATGAGGGTAATTATTTCCATTGATCTTTTTGTTTTTTAAGTTGAACAATGATTCCCACACTTCAGATGTTGAAGCCAATGTTATAATGAATACCAACTGCTTAGGTGTGATTAGAACTTTGTGCTTTGTTTCCCTCCTCCAACAAGCAGCAGGAGGCTTGTCAAAATGGAGTCATTTGTTTGGCTCAATACAAATCTTAGACAATTTCTCCTCAGAGTTAGTGCACTTCAACATGGTATAATGGTTAACAAAGTTGTCTCGCTGTGTCGGCCACAACTGAGTGGTGAGATCAATCCTCGCCTGGTGCTACATAATGCTTAATAAATAGCTAGTTTGTCATCTATGTTATATCTCTTGGTTGTGTTTCTGTCTTTAGACTGTTCACAAAAAAATAAATAAGGGACGACTGGTCCTGGAGATTCTAACTGTACAGCAGCATCTCACTTGGAGGAGGAGGGTGTCAGTGGAATACTGATGCCAGCATAACTGTGTGCAGGGATTGGGCAATTTTTAATCTCAACCCATGTGTACATGCATTGGCACCCACATTAAAAAGGCCTGATGCTACATTTTGTTATCACCACTGTTGGAGAGGTGGATGAGTAAATAACTAGTTTATTAGCTGCCTGGGGAAACTGCCAGTTGTAACTAATTTATTCTCACTATACTAACTTTACAGCCAAGTCTATAGGATGAGTAAATAACTAGTCCACCCATGAAAATTACTGGCAAAATTTAAAAGGACATTGAGCAGACCAATACTTATATAGTGCAAGGGGTAAAAAGAAAGTTTATGGCTTACAGCTGTGTTCTTATTTATTGATAAATATAAAATGAGCTTATGGTCATGTCACATTGAAATCTCAGTTCCCATACAATCATTGAAGTTAAGCAATGTCTAGCCTGGTCAGTATCTAGATAGGTGCTGTAAGCTTGGATGTGTGGGTGGTGTAATGGATAATGGCTAGGTTGTTAAGTGGAGAGCTGATTTCCATTTTTACTTGGGTTCATTATATTCATTTATGTGCAAATACTCTCAGGAAAGGTATGAAACCACTTCTTCTCCCCTCACATCTATGGATTAGTTAGACTTGTATCACTAAAACAGTAATATATATATATATATATATATATATATATATATATAAATAAATTGTATATAAAATATTAAGATTTTGGCATTAAATAACCCATAAACAAAAAACAAATATGAAATGACCTCTCAATATTTGGTTTTGTATTTCAGTAGGTCCAATATAAGTTTTGCAAATACTATTTACCATGTGAACATTTGAAATTGAAAATTTATATTATATACATTTGTATTTGTTTTTAAAATTACTCATCCAGTATCTAAAGCTAACTGCAAATATATTTGGTATTGAATTTGGTAGCTTCAAGGTTGATTCTTCTGGTATGGGATGCAAATTGTCAAAGCATACTTTATTATGTATTACTGCAGATTTTATCAGCTACTATATATATATATATATATATATATATATATATATCCATTTTTGAGAGAATTATTGGACATGTCATTTTACTCTTTACAAACATGTAAATATTAGCTTTTTATTGTCCTTTAAGGAAAGTGGGCAGACCAAGATTTGTCCCAATATTGATTTGGGGTCTGAAGGAACTACATTTTATGATAGAAAAATAAAAGAAAACAGCAGAGAAAAAAAAGAACACTTTTATTGTCTCCTGTGTTAAAGCATACTGAATTCTTCATTTGTCTTTACCATTCCTCCTCTTTACTTTAGAGCCAAAAATAAGTAAAATATACATATTTCAAGACAACCATGCTGCCAGCTTCCATTATCCATCTTGCTGCTACTGTAGAGAATGATGTGCCTGAATCCATCAGACTTTGCCAAATTTCTTGGCCAGCCATTCAATCTTTCCACTTCGATAAAATTGTCTCCACTTGTCTTTGAGATTGATATTTGTCCTCTGGAAACTTATATAATCTCTAATTTCAGCCCAGTTTCCAAGTCCTTTCCTTTTGACAGCCAAGTAAAACTCCTCCTCCTGTTCTCTTGTCCATGGAATTCGAGACATGCGTATGTTTTGCTTTGTTACGGGCGGTCTCAGGTTTTTACGTAGAGTGATCGTCTCAACTTCCGGAAATGTTTTCTCAACTACAAGAAAAGAAAAGAATATTTGTAGAGAGATGTTTGACCCACTTTCATCATTGCTTTCCTGTATTATTCACGTATGTATGTGTATAACTGTAGGGAGGATATTCCTTCAAGGATAATCACTTATGTTGAAGACAAAGTATCCTGGGTTCAAACTCTGACTACTAAAGCTAGCGGGTAATAAACTTACTCTTGTAGCAACAGCATAAACTTGTGTTGAGTTCATGATTGATAAATTTGTTAATCATCATGCTGTGCATATCCAAATTTTCACCTGTCTAAATGTATACAGCATTTAATGACAAGTAATTTAAAAGTGCTATTTCAAATTTTCTTGTACAATTTCTCAACTGCTTCATACTTTGTCGAACTTAAGATATCTAGCTTTATAAGTTAGTTGGCTCAGTAGATTAAATTGAAAAGAAATTTTTTATTTAATGTTTAAGAATTTACAAAGGCTAATGATAACTTTGTGGGTCGTGATGGATGACTGCTTGGAATGGAAAGTCTGGTTGGTTACATTTACTTATGTGCAAATACCCTTGAGAAAGATATAAATTCATTTCTTCTCTCCCCAGCTATGTGTTGAATAACAGGACAGACTGGGTCCTATAGTCTTGGTAAGCAACCAGTCTACTGCAGAAAGCAACCTCCTGTGGGGAAAATATTCTGCCTAGTCAGTCATGAATAAAAATGTGACTGCCTAAGCATATGGCACTTGACTGACTGATAGCTAGCTCTGGACACTGATAAATATGTATTTAATTTTTTTTTCTTTTTTGAGAACAAAGGCTTGAGAAAGTTTTTCCATCTACTGGAAGCACGAAAACAAATGTATGTATGAAGCAAGGTCAAAAGTCTTGTGAGCCAACAGAAATTAAGTGTCAGAAGATGTCATGGTTTGCTCATGTCATAACAGGTTTTGCAAGACTATCATGCAAAGCACTGTTGAAAGTGAAGGATAGCAATGCAAACATCAAAGATTGGGCAGGCATAACAATGCATCCTGGAGGAGGTTTATCTGTTTCTTCTACCTTTAGGTCCCACCCAATGATTGAGACTGATGGTGATAAGCAACAGAAAATGAAAAAAAAAAATATCTGAAGACTCAGAACAACTACAAATGGAATCTCTCTCTCTCTCTGAAGTATTTTTCTTTTTAAAGTGTTAAGTTACAAACCTGGAGATACTGTAAATACTCTTTGTCTTGTTTTCATCCTACAAACAAATAAAAAAAAAAATCTTTAACTATTTTGATATAGGATAATGTCTTAACCCATTAACAGCAGCTGATGATAATAATTTCCATCGTTGCAGTTTTACTGTTTGACTGTGAATGATGAAAATTTCTGCTGCAATTAATTGATCAAGAGAAATTAAACAAACAGAATAAAAAAGAAAATGTAAATTGAAAAAGCTTTTTGTAAATGTCATTATCACAGCTGTATTGATTTTTATGTGTCACACAATGATGAATTTTGTCTGAAAACAGTAATTTCATGAAGAGATTAAGGTAAAATACTTTATTTTTAAGAGTAGTTTAAGTAACATGAATTCTAAATCTGATTTTTTTTTTTTTTTAGTATAATTTATCAGAATCCTGATGAAGTTACTAAGAATATTAAATAACTAATTTTTTTTTTTAATATAACTTCTATCAGAATCCTGATATTCAATAACTAAGATATTAAATAAATTTAAGTTGCAATAAAAATGACAACATATAACAAACACTAAACTGGTTAAACGAATTAATTACCTGGTAGTGTTCATTTGATCACTACTATTTTCTTTATCTGCAAAAGAGAAAAAAATGAATGAGAAACAATATTTCTTACATTAAAGATAAAAATATGAATCCTTTACCCCATGACACTGGGATGGAATAACTTCTGTAAGGAGAGCAGACATATCTGTTTTCTGTTTATCAAGAAAAATCTCAAATGCTCATGTCAACTGGATTTCTTTTTTGCTTTTTAGGGCTAAAATACTGAAATTACTTTACAGAATCCAGTCATAATAAAACATCTTTATGTTATGCAACTATTTAACAAGGGTAAATAATTTTATACCAACAAAAAAAAAAATATCAGAAAATAATTTTCCTAAAACAATACAATTTGTTTCTGTTAAATAATAATGACAGACCAACAACACCGATTGCCAAACACACTTCTGAGCCACAAGCTCAAAAACCACTTTAACACTTCATTATACCAAATTGTGCAACTGCAGAGAGTATCACTAACAAGTCTTGCTATCAAAATTGGCCTATAAGGAATTAATCTAAACCATTCACAATCTGACCAAACAGCTTTTACTCACGTGTGTGAGGGAGTTGTGCATTTGAAATGTTTTCATGGTATGTATACACGTGTCTTCTTTTCTGGACTTAATGAATGTAAAAATTGTCCAAACGTTTAATTCTGATTGCTTTTGGCTGAACTATTAGCCATTTTCAAGGATTTTTTTGTTACACAGTTTATTAGTTGTATGTAGATGGTATAAAAGTGGCTGAAAGTATATTCATTTTAAACTACCACCAGTACATTGAGGTTTTTTTTATAAGTAATATCATTAAAAGTTTTTTTTTTTTTGTCTTTTATAAGCCCTTTCTTTCACTTTTCAACACTTTTTGAATCCATCTGAAGTTGGCTAGCTAAAGTTGCAGACTATTCACCCAGGCACACTTGTACTTCTTCAACACCCACAGAGCCAATTGGTGGTTTATATTACAAAATATGCTGAGCAAACTTTAGTTACAGTTTCTGGTGGGGGTGTGTGTGTGTGTAATACTGGGAGTGCTCAATGGTTGAACAAAGCCACTATCAGTATGCTTGAATATTCAGTCACAATGACGTGTGACTTCATGCTAACACAACCATCAATGGTTTCCAAACAGATTTGTCTAATTAATTTCACTCACAAAACTTGGCTCATAACCATATCATGTATGCGTGTGTGTATATATATATATATATATATATATTAGGCATGGGTTTTTGTTTTCAAAGATAAATTGTTGAAAAGGGAAAAAAAATTAAAATATTACAATTCAAATACAAACCATCAGGAGGAGAAAATATTTCGTTTTCAAATTTCTTCAATTTGTTGTGATATTTCATGTGATTCTGAATGAAATAAAAGAAAAGTTTTTTTTTAGCTTTCAACTTTTAACTGTTTCTTCCATTTTCTTTTTTTCACACTGATAAAAATGCCAGTAAATGCAAGAAATATAGAAACCGCAATCAACTTGAGTTAAGACAAATTAACCATATAACTCTGGCAAGTGTCTCACACAGTTACCTCCCTTTAGAAAGTCTGGCAGACTTGTTTCATTGTAACATCGTTTTAGATGACATCAGTTTTTAAAGGATGCGTTAGTGTATATCAGCATGGAATGTGGAATCAGAGTGCAGTGTTCAAATTACAGGCTAATCTGTTGCGCTTACTTTCGCACAAATACCACTGGAAAAGGCTTGAATCCGTCTCTTCTACCTGCAGCTATAGGTTAATTAGTAGAGTAGCTCTAGCTTTTGAGTAACAATTCAAAAATAAAGGAATCTGTGGATAGTCATAATCACTTATATCCTGGAGGGACATGACATTAAAAAAAAAAGATTTATCCACCCAACCTTTCCTACTGGAGCATCCTTTTAATAAATTAAGTGTATGTTATATAGAAATTGGGGAAAATATTTCTTCTTTTATAATGTACAGTTGATTAGAAATCTTTAGGCAGACATCCATAATTTGTCAGTTATATTAACTGCACATCCTTACAAATATTAAAGGATGCAGGTGATCATGGCTCTCCACTTCCTTCCATGCCTTGTAGCTCTTAATAAGTTTTATCCCTCTGCCACCTCTCCAGATCACGTTCTGTCATCCACTTGTTTAAGCCCACCAGGTATGTCATGCGTTGCTTTTCCCTCTCTTTCCCTTTATTCGACCTGTGAGTATCAGATTTTTCCAGTCAGTTGAAAAGCAAGTTTTATAAACAATTCATAATATTCTGAGGAGAAAATTAAGAAAAAAAAAGAAAATAAAAAAAAGGTGTATTTGGAATAAGCCATTTAACTGATAACTCGGTTTCAAGTACATTCATATACTCTTTATATTGCAACTATGCTGAGTGGACCATTGTTATCAGGAGAGAGCACATCTGGCATGATCAGTGGTTTGAACAAAGTACACTCAAATCTTTGGTCATGGTGAGTTTTAACTTTGTGCATGCAGAACCACTGATGGCATTTGAACGGTTCCACCTACTCAGTTGCACTTACATGGCTTGAATCAACCATGTTGTGGTTTTCAGGCACTTTCTCCAGGCTGATAATATCAAGAAGTTATCTCCCTGATTAATCAACCATAGTAAGATCCAAAGCTGGATCCCAAGGTTGGAAAGAAACCATGAGATAACCCATTATCAGATCCTAACTGATAGTACAAATAAATTTGAAACTATTTCATAAAATAGGAAGAAAGTATAAAGAATTTTCTGCTTAGTTATCATGAAATTGTCAGTGAATTTATTTTACTTAAATAATCAAAATATTTCTCCCCCATTTATCTCCAACTAGTCTTTAATGGCTGTAACTTGTCAGTTTTCTTTCTAAAGAATTCTTCAACAAAATAAGACTTAATTCATTGAATCTTTCTTTGATCTGATCCTTATTAAGAATCTCCTCACCCAGTCAAAATTCTCTGATTAACAATTCCGAGCCATTATCCATTAGACCATTGGCACATCGAAGCTTACAGCACTTAATATTCTCAAACAGTTACCCATCTAGGTTCTGACCAGACTTGACATTGCTTAACTTTGGTGATTATACAAAGGTTTTTAATTTTTTTAAAAAATATGACATTGATTAAGAAATCAATCAAAATACAAAAAACATCAAAACAAGAAACTATTAAAATTTTAATTTTTAAACAATTTTTAAAAGAAAAGCTAAAGTATTAAAATGCCAGCAAGTGAAACAACTTGTGGGTTGGGGAAAATGACAAAAATGTCTGCCTACCTCATTCCAAATGGATTTTAATTTATTTGAATACGTTTCCATTTCCGATTTATCCAATGTCAAAGTACTTTTGCTGGAATCTTCATTAAATTTCATAGCCATCTGGACTATCATGTCTGGCTGTATGCTTGAATGAAGAAAAGCAAGAGTGTATTAAAATGTCAACAGTAACAAAATAGGGTAATAGAGCAGCTTGGAAAGAATTTCTCCTATCTTCTGGAAATAAACAAATGAATCAAATTCTTCTATAGGTCTCTTAAAATGTTTCAGTATCTAAATTCTGAAGTTAAAAGCAAATCTAATATAACACTCAAAGTTTGTGTGTATGTCTGTTTAAAACCCTGAAAATGAATTAAATATCTTTAAAGCTGCTTGTCTGTGTGGATAAATATCATATAAAACTGATATCAAATAAATTTATATCTTAGAGCATGTGTCTTATATATGGCCCAACTTAGCAATTATTGCTTAATGGAGATAACTAATTTGTATATGCAGATTTAAAAATTTTATAAATAAATTTTATTTTATAAATAACTTTTTGTTATACATTTTTTATCTGGTTTTTAATAAATAAGTGACAGTTTTGTTGATGACTTTTATAATTAGACTGCTTAGTTATTCAAATAAATCCACTTTCCGTCCTGAAAATGGTTAACTACCTTACCATTTGACGGGTTGTGGGTAAATAGAAGCAGTGTATAAAGGGAAGTAACCCATGTTGGTATTTTTAATAGTATGTTTTGAAAATCTAACAAATGCCAGAATTATGTGGGGAAAGTCAAAAATTATCCACACTATTGTCTAAAGATATGTTATGGCAAAAATGTGAATAATTTTTGACTTACCCTTGTATATTAGTAATTGATTAAATGACACTAGTCAGTATCATAGTAAATTTCACAATCATTTCCTTTCCTAAATGCAGTTTTGAATTCAGAGTTGTCCTACTATTTAACCTGGGAGGTGGCGAGTAGATAAATAGATTTATATCTTTCCCAAGAATATTTTCCTGAAAGTGAATGTAATGAAACTAGATTTTCCAATTATTTGTTATGAGCCACTACCAATTATAATACCTGCACACCTTTATAAATATTATAATAAATGAATTAAACAACTTTTCTCTTCATTCACCATGTCCCTTCAGGATGTAAGCAATCATGGCTCTCCACTTCCGCCTATCCCTTGTAGCTCTCAATAAGTTTTGTCCGTCTGCCACCTCCCCCTGATCACATTCTGCTATCCACTTGCACAAGCCCATCAGCTATGTCATGTGTTGCTTTCCCTTGTCTCTCTTTCCCTCTATTTGACCTGTGAATTTCCAGGCCTTCCTTTCTCATTATGTGTTTCAGAAATTTCAGCTGTCTCTTCCTGATGTTAAGTATAAGCTTCCTCCTTGTTTGTATCCTCTCCAAAACCTCATCATTGCTCACACAATCGGTCCATGGCATCCTTAGCATCCTTCTGTAGAACCATATCTTTGTTGCCTTGAGTCTCTTTTTCATCTTTGAGGAGACCGTCCAACATTTGCTGGTGTAAAGGAGGACATATGTCACGTAGCAGCTAAGTACTCTTTTCTTTGTTACTAAATAAATCCTCCTGTCTTGTAATACTCTGCCTAGTTTTTGGAATGAGTCCTTGGCTATATCCCAATAACTACCAAAATGTTTAAAACTACTTTTTTAAATCCACTGAAACTAGTTTACCTCATCCATGAATGTTTCAGGGTGTTGTACATTGCTGGGTATCATTGCCAATAAAGTGTCAATTCTTTCTGTTTGAAAATAAATCTTAAAATATTTAGAAAATTTGGTAAAGTTTAACATTTATCCCAGCAAAAAAAAAATGGGTGTCAAGGGGCGTTTTTTTTTCTTGATACCACCACAATTACTATACACAATGTTTATTATTTTAAAAAGCTATTTTTTTAGAGTTTTAACCTCTTCCTCGCCAATTATTTTGGGAAAAATGTTTGATTTCAGACAAAATAGAAATACCCGAGCAGTACAAGTTGACAACTAGACTCCAGTTGTCAATTTATATGTGCTTTTGACACACTTTATTTTGCAGCTTTGCTTTTTAAAAGCTTATTATTCTCATACAGAGTAATAATTATTTGGCTGTTGAGAAATGTTTTTTTGAAAAGAAATATTTTTTAAATTACTACTTTTATATCATTTATCTTCTTTTATCATTACTTTTTATTGCAATCATCATTTTTACATTCTGCAATCACTAAGCAACACAAATCACAAAGTTTTTTAAAAAGTAGCCTTCAAAGAGATTTGACATCTGACATGGGTGACAACTTGCTAATTACTTCAGAGACAAACCAACATGTAGAATTTAAAACTTTTCAGAAGGCAACAGGAAACCACTTCACTATCTTTCTGAAGAATGCATAACAATTCACAAATAAATGGAATGTATGGAAAGTCAGGATCACTTATGACCTGAAGAGGCATTTAAAAAAAAAATAGAAGAAGAAGAAAAGGAAGTAAAATAGGATTACATTCTGTGTGAGAATTGGTTGGAAGCACACACACACACAAAAAAAAAACTATACACAAGTCCAATTGGCAAAACAGCGGTACACAGTCCAATAGGCAAATCAATTCCACAAATGCTGACTATCACTGTTCCTCAATCTCAGGTAAGCAACTCCTCTCACCAAAAACGAGTCCCCCGCTTTGAATGAATGTACCGTGCTTTTATGCACCTGACAAGGTATTGCTCAGCCAATGAGCGCCAAGAACCAGGCAATAAAAATAGCTACAAGCAACACCACCACTTCCACCCACACAAATTGCTGCCTGATTCACCTTCAGTCCAAATTCATTGTCTCCACACTACACTGCAAAACATACATGCAACTCTGGCCCTTTTCGGTTGCCAAGGTAAGTCTCTGCTACGCGTTCCTATCTGGTTCAAAGGTAATTTAAAAAATGAATAATAAAAATATTTCATCTATTATGTGTATGCAAAAGTTTCTCAATGAATCTTAATTTTAACTGAATATTCATTTGCTAACTCTTTTGAATTCACCTAACAAATTAGACAACTTAAAAATTGTTGATACTTGTAATATTATTGTAAATGAATTGGCAAAAGACATATTACCTTTCTTTTGTTTTTATGGGGGATAATATGAGACTTTCATCATTTTTCTTTAATGCTTCTGTTGCAGCCTAAAAAAAAAACAAAAAACAACTATGAATTGTAAAAAGAATAGATAAACATTTTCTAGATAAAAAAATATTTTCTTTATTTTTTACACCTTGTTACATGAGGTTTCAAACATTTAAGGGGAATACAATTGCTTGGTAATAACTTCTTTCCTTTCAAAAACATTTTTTTTAAATCAATTCACTGCAAACAAAGAGATAAAGCCACTATCCCACATGGGGTTATTGAAAGTGAAAATAAACTGAGAAAATTTGATTAAGGAGAAAGGACAATAAAAGAACAGATTTCAAAAAGACAAGATGACAATTGATGTTGCATTTAAACTTGAAGATCATAGTTTACAGGAAAGCATGAAGCTGGAAAAGTGTTGTTCAAGTAAGAAGTGTGAGCAAAGAAACTGTTAGCATAAATCTCATGGTTACATTTACTATTTTCAACAGTAAAATGATGAGACCTAACAGCCAATTTAGTACTGTGCTTAAATTTGTAAAGTTGAGGTACCAAAGAGGAAAGCTCATCAGAACAATTACTATGAAAATACTTATAAGACAAAAGGAAGCTATTTTACAGTGGAAGGAAAATGAATGAATCTGATGTGACAAGTCAGGACCAATAACATTGCAGATTCTTCTTTGGATTTTGCCAAGAATCTGTAGATATACAGTAGAAACACCAGACTAAATGTGGCAGGAATATTAGATACTCAGATAAATGGTAGACTTATAAAGGTGTAAGACAGATTCCAATGAGATAAGTTGTCTGAGATGACAGAGTAAAACTAACTTTCCTGGGAACAGGCCAAACAATTGATTTGATATAATTGTTCCACTTCAAAAGTGTTTAATACTTTTGAATATTAATCTAAAACTTATTTCTTTACATGTTTTTAAAACAGGATATAGAATCCTGACAAGGTTTTTAAGAAATTTGGCAAATGGGAAACCTTTCATTGAAAATAGATTTGATTACACGTTTTGCCATCTGAGGATTCTTCAGATCCAAAAACCAAAGAAAGAAATGTGTGTGTGTATTTGTGTGTATACTTAAATAATGAATCTTAGTACATTTTCAATAAGTTGGTATTTCTCATGATTAAAGAAAGAAGAAAATGAGTGACTTTTAAAAAGGCTGTTAATATTTATTCTGTATTTTTATGATTCTTAGTTCATGTTGAAAGTTGTTAATAAATTTTCCCTCCTTTTTTTGTATTGAATTAAAGGTAAGTCCTCATCTGGTTTTCAGAATGGCTCGAAAGTAAAAAATGCATATGAGCCTTTTCTGAAATGAATCCAAGGCAAATCCTCACAAAATCCTTTAGAATGGGTTAAAACTAAAAGATTTTTGTTTTTTGGCCTATCCATGTATTTACTGTGTCGACAATATATGCTTTTAAAATAGGATATACAATCCTGACAAAGTTTATAAGAAATTTAACAAATGGAAAATGTTTCATTGAAGATTATTTTCACCATTCTAGACTTCATCAGATCCAAAAACCAAAGAAAGAAATGTGTGTGTATATATATATATATATATATATATATATATATATGCTTAAATAATGAATCAAAAGAATCATAAAGAAAAGATACAGAATAAATATTAACGACTTTTTAAAAAATTACTCATTTTCTTTCTTTCTTTAAACATGAGAAACACCAACTTAGGGGAAAAGTTCATTATTTAAGCATATACACAAATACACATTTCTTTCTTTGGTTTTTGGATCTGATGAATCCTCAGATGGTAAAACATGTAATCAAATATATTTTCAATGAAATGTTTCCCATTTGCCAAATTTATTTCTTTATATAAGTTTCCACAAACAGAATACAAACCAAGAAGACCACAGAATTTGCCTGCTGTTTTTAATGGTCAGGTAATGTGGACAAAATGGAGGAGAAGACAGAATTTTTCTTATATTACTTTCTTATTTAATTTTACTTTGTCCTTTACTTTAAGTGTATTCATTTTTGAATGGGTAAATGTATATTTTGGCTTTAATCATCTTTTGCTAGCTTAACCAAAATTTGGAATTATTTGTATGTATATGTCGCCATATTTCTTGTCCATTCACAAAAAAAAAAAAAAAAAAAAAAAAAAACTGCAAAAAAATAAAAAAGGATTAGCTTACTTAACAGCCATTTAAGGGGAGGAACTCATAGAGGAAGGAGGAGAAAAAAATGAAAGTTTCTTGGATAATGTTGTAACCTAGAATGAGGAATAACCAAAATGGAGGTTGGAAATGAAATGGTAATCTTTATAACATCAACAAATTACAATACTTGCCAGTGGCATGAAGTAGGTGAACCACTGCTAGTGGTGGACTACTTAGACAGCATATCACCCTCTTTTACAATAGTGTCCAACATATTTATGAGGATTGAGACATACACATTAGTGTTCATAGGTATGGATTATAACAGATACTGTATCTGATTTCTTTTGTCCAAATGGACTGAGCTCTGAAATTTTATTCACTAATTATTTTTTTTTCTCCTCTGCTAACAGGAGTAAGTAAACTTGTTTATCATCTAGTTCACACTTCTCCCTGGTCTTTTAGTAGAGGTTTTTGTTTTGGACACAACAAACTGGTCATTGATTATTTCCAAATACTGGTTTATATGATGTGTAGATGGGTGAGGGGTTGATAAAGGAAAGAGCTGATTAATGAGATCAACATAGAAGTTGTCCAAAGTGTCACCTACCCACCCGAGCAGGCAATGCCCCAGATAAAACATCTAGATATAATACAGGAAACAGGGTTCATGTTCTTATTTGTTGACATAGCCTTTGTTACCTTGCGAGCATGCAGCAGGCCCTTTCCCAGTTTTTGGTTCACACTGATGAGATTGAGTATTGGAATACAATGTGAGGTAATCATTAGTCGGTTGGTGGAAAGTATGGGTGAAAGGTTGTGTTGTATGTTTACACAGCGACCCTTGAATAAATTAGAACCTAATTATTTTTCAATATTTGTTTCTCACTGTTTTTATAATAGGCATATTTTACAAACACATAAATATACATTTTTGAATCAATCAAGTTGGAATCCAATACTGTAGTAGAGTGATTAGCAATCTTCTCTTTCAAACTGGGATGATTTTGATTCTCCCTAGGTGCTGCTCTACTGTAGCCACATATCAGACGAAGCTAAACTAATATTACAAAGGTGAGTCAAATATTATCCGTACTTTCATAACATAATTTTAGGTTTGTCACACTGACTTCTGATCATGTGTTCTTATAGTTGGTACTATTGTAATGGATAATGGAGATTGGACAAATTTCCAGTTGGGTTTGTGATATTCACTTATGTGCTAATAACCTTTAGAAAGGTTGGAATCAAACTCTTTTCTTCCTACCTATGGGTTAATTAGTAGGACTTGTATCAGTAAATCATTATTATCTCCAATGGACATGTGGTTGTGTGGTTAGAATGTTTGCTTTCTGACTATAAGACCTGGGTTCAAATCTCACTAAGGTTGATTTGTCAGGAAGGTGATTACTTGACATTGGCCTGTAGAGGCCACCCCAGCATGTAGCACCTTTAGAAAGTGCCTGAAAACCAAATTACAGGTTGACCCAAGCCTTGTCGGTGAAACTGGGTAGATAGAACTACAAAGTCACAAGTCATTGTGACCAAGGCTTTGAGCGTGCTAGCCTTGTTTAAACTGTTGATCATGCCAAATAATGCGTTCTCTCCCAGAAACTGTAACTAGGGTCGGCTCAGCATAGTTGCAGCATAAGCCATAGGTGGGCTTTTGGTATGTTGAAATAACTCTAAGGTGCCTAAGCAGGCGTCTGCAATAGTGATTGGCTAGCCATTCTAGCAGGCAGGCATACTCGGATATTATCCCCAGCTTCAACACTCGACACCCCCAGCTATAGTTAATTAGTAGGACTTGCTCAGTAAAATCATTATTATCTCAAAAAATTCTTACAGTCTAAAAATATTTTCTGTCTTTAAATAACCTAAGTTGATAAGCTGTAAAAAATAAATCAAATCAAATTCTCTTTTGACAATCCTCATTATAGCATGAACTAAATAGAAAGGTTTGCAGTGCTCCTGGATCTCATTCATGGAGCTCATTTTGGGAAACCCTGCTTCAGTCTACAACCAGAATAGATTTTCAGACAATATTGTCTTTGTAGCTAGTGTACTCACCGTAATGAGAAAAGGTGTTGTTGAAGGTATGACATGATCTTGTAGATATTGAGATACACTGGTGCTTATGGAACTTGGAATGTGACATTGAAGGGCATCATGTTTGGAGTCTTTGAGGTCTAAGATTTCAGACACCTCTTTGTCCGATTCCTGAAATGAAAATAGATTCTTTAGCTTTACAGGTAAAAGATACGAGAAAACAAAATAAAGAAACTGCTGAGATTAAGACAAATCTAAAACAACTTCATTTTTCTAAAGTTCATACCCATGGCTGTGGATATAGTAATGGTTATATTAGCTGTTTCCCTATAAGGAAACATTTGGCATTCAACTGATCAAGCAGCCAGTACAGCTTTCAGTTGAAATTCACAAAATCGTTCTCTTAAGAAAATAATTTTTCAGGAAAACAGCTTTCTCAAGTCCAGTAGCTATTATTGCTCTTTCCACTATTGATGGGGGTTTCCTTCTGAACTTTTTATTTGAAGTGATGTGAAATGTTAACATCTTGATTATGTCATTATTTTCTCTTCAAGTTACATGTGCTATCCATTTTAGTTGTTGCTGATGTTGGTAGTCAGCAATCCAAAATATTCAAAGAAGGATGTTCTTTGCCAAGATCCTCAGGCTTTACTCAAAGACTTTTTTGACCATTGATCTCAGGAAGCGGTTGTATACAGCTGAGTTTGGATATTTGTAATGGGTCTGGTGCCATGAATGACATCCTTATGAAAGTCTTGATCTGACTCAAGAGAATGACTTGAGTTTTCAGTTTGACATTTTTGGTTTTGTAGCAATTTGTGGCATTGGGTGAAACTACTTCTGCAGTGGTAGAGCATTAGACTGGGGATGCCAACAAAGCTAAACTGATAAGATTATGAAATTCAAGTTGTGGCAAACACAAATAAACAAATCATGAGAGAACGGTATGGTTTCTACCACATTGATTGATATTTGAAAACCCTCACTACTAAATTTTGAATGAATTTTCTTCTCATTAGTTGGATGGTTAATTTTGTTAGGGGCATATCAGTCCCTATAGGTCATTTTATGCCAAAATATAAAAAATTTTAACAATTTTATGGCTTCAACTAAATATATTTTGAACAGAACTGTACGCCTACAACTACAGATAAAATGTACTGTTGGTCATTTTGTTTTAAAAATGTTTGTTTGTCTAGCGGCATATCAACTCCTTAGAGGTCTTTTAATACCAAAATTTAATTTTTTTTGAGAGCATTAGTAATTTCTTTTGCAAAAATGTATTGCTGGTAATTATTTTTACCATGAAAATTTATTGCCAGTAATTTTACTATAAAAAAGTATTTTTATACTTTCATAATGTTTTGACCCCAGTTTGAGGGGGTTAAATATTTACCCCTAGCTGAGACCTAACAGGTGCTACTACCCTAGGTCAGGGTGAACCTGGGAACAACAGCAATTAAGAAGTGTTTCCCTGTTCCTTTAAAACCTCTAATCTCTTGATCAGAGGCCTTGCTGTCAGATGTAGTTTATTGTTATACCTAGGACTATATTCTCATTAGTCACTCAGGTCTATCGAGCTTATTCTGAAAAGTAGTCCCAGAAATTTCAAGTAGCATGTCAAACATTAATAGTGCTGGATTTTCAAAAGTAGTAACCCTGATTAGAGACAGTTTTCAAAGATTGCAGTATCAAGTCTTTTCATACACATACTGTCATAATCCACTGTCATAATAATAGTGACTTGTCTTATATAGGACGATAGCCAAGTGGATAAAGTGTTGGCTTGTGAATTTGGTGACAGCGTAATTGTGAGTTCAATCCCTGGGCCAGGCAGTGTGTACTTGAACTAACTGGAAACAGGGCATGCAATAACTGAGCAGTACTAAAAATAAGAACTAGACAAGATATCCCTAGACAAGGGCAGTGGAACGAGAACAGTCTGCCCCTGTAGATTAAATAAAGGATTCTGTTTGGAATTGTCTTTAGGTCAACCAGATCAATAAATACCTGGAGAAGGTTGAAGAGCACAGCAACTGAAACGTGATAACAACAACAAAGGTGAGGATAATAGTCTGCATGTAAATAGTGTAAATAATAATAGCGATTTGTCTTATACTGTTCTGACAGTTTTCTACAAATATGAATAAGTAAATTTAAAAAATTTTTTTTTTTATTTGAACTACTGAGATGTTGATTCATTTAGACCCAAACATTACACAAAAATCATTAATTGATAAAGAACATGTCCTACTGAACATGATTTAGTGTATAAATCATTGATAAAACTTACATGACTCATTTGGACTCCATTCGCGTTGTTAAGTAATGCAGATATAGAAAGATTCAGTTGAGAAGTCAAAGTTATATATATCAAAATTGCCTCGAATATGCAGATCAAATAAAGCATTTTGTACAACAATCCTGGTAAGTTACTAATCATGACAGACCAGAATATGCAGTGGCAAAAATGATAAAAAGCAACAAAAACAAAGAAAGTGGCTTGAATGAATCAACCTATTAAAAAACTAATTGGATCATGTACAGAGGCTCCTTGACTTATGTTGGAGATTTGTTCCTACGGTGTGATATAACCTGATTTTCGAAGTAGGTCAGAACTCACCAACATAAGCATCCATAAGGCTGCCTTATACTTGAGGGCTATAATGAAGGGCAAAAAGTTCCCAAAAAAACAACACAAGCAAGAGATAGTGGATAGAGCACAATCCATGGCAAGCAGCTGGTGAAGGAACAACACTGTCTTCCTCATATAGCGTCAGGTGATGATGATTTATATTATAGATGATGGTGCTGTAACCACAAAACACTGTACATCACATCCAATGTAACCCGAGGACCTTTTGTATAGCTTTTTGTTCAGTGTGTTGAGGAGGGGCTTAAAGAAGAGAATTAACTAAATATTTTATTCTTTAGTGTTTAATTTTGCCTGACTGTATAAAGACTCAAACAACCTTATGCCATGTGAATATTCAATTGTCAACAGCAGAAGTGTGCAAAGAACAAAGTAACACTGATCGTAGACTGTTTTAAAGTATTGTATTATGCAATTGCTGAAATCAGTGACTGAGCCTTCCATATCATACATTTCACACTCTTTCATACTATTTTTATCTTAATATCTGAGATGTTGATTCATTCAAACCCAAACATTATACAGGGACCATGGAAATGTTATCGTTGTATAGACGATTAAGAGTATCTGATGAAATCTATCATGTGCAAAATTATTGTCTTTTCAAACCTAGACTCCCTTAATAAATAATAATTATAATTATAATAATTATTTCACCTCAATCAAGACAATAAAGCTACTAAAATCCTGGGTAGGGGGTTGTATTGAGCATGAAGGAAACACAGTAAAACGTTCCTGTGGAGAAATGACAATAAAAAGGATACAAGGAGAGAAAAGTGAATGACTGATGTTGCATTTAGAGCATTAGACGGGGGGGATGTCAACAAAGCTTGATTTATATGATTATGAAATTCAAGTTCTACTAAACACAAATAAAGAAAATTACTAGACACCATTAGACATTGGGTTTTGCAATGTGAGACAGATTGATTGATATTTGAACGCCCAGTGCTACTAAATTTTTATTGAATGTCTTCACATTAGTCATTCAAATTTGCCTAGTATATTCTAAAAAGTAGTCCCAAAAATAGCAACATTCAAAATTTGATAGAATTGTACTCTCAAGGGGAGGCCAATCTGGTAACACTGATTTTAAATGGTTTTGAAATATTGTATTATACAATTGCTGAAATCAGTGACTTAGCCTTCCGTATCATGCATTTCACGCACTTTTATACTATGACCCATTGTTACAATAATAGTGACATTCTTTCTGTCAGCATTTCTGGGATGAGGTGTTACTATTTACACTATTTACATTTGGACTATTGTCCTTATCTTTGTTGTTGTTAGTTACCACAAACTTTCAACCATTGTTTTCTCCAGCATTCATCAAGTGTATATCAATACAGGTAACTTACAGGGAATTCCAATCTGGGGAGGGGGGTGTAGACTGTTCTTGTTCCACTGCTCATGTCTTGGGATATCTCATCTAATTCTTATTTTTAGTATTGCTCAGTTATAGTTTGCTTGGTTTCTGCTGTCCAAGTACACACTGCCCAGCCCAGGGATTGAACTCACAATTACCAAATTCACAAACCAATGCTTCCATCCACTAGGCTAGCGGAAATAAGGCAAGTAAGAAGTGAGCAGTACAACTGTATGTTCAATCCCTGGGGACCCACTTAAAAGGGGGCAAACAATAACTGAGCAATACTAAAATAAGAACTAGACAAGATATCTCTAGATGCAGAAAGATAACAATTTACCTCCGAAGATTAAATAAAGGGTTCAGTTTCAAATTCCCAGGTTACATTGATCAAGAAGCACCGACTTAAATGTTGTCATAGCAACAACAAAAATGAGGACAATAGTCTGTGTGTAAAGAATGTAAATAAAATAAAAACAGTTCATAAAGAATTTGGCATACCAAATTGCTGGCACACTGTTGCACAGGGATTCGCAACTGCTGTGCCATGACACATTAGGGGCTGCAAAATATTCCACAGTGTGTGTGTGTATTTAAGTAGCAATGTCGCAGCATTAGTTCAGTGGAACAAATTTAATTTGAAGCCCGTTTTTTCAATAAAAAACAATGTAAAATGGATTAATCCATTCCTGGTCCCAAGACGATTGCTTATTTATACTTTAACAACAGTACTTTGTGCCCAAGTTTATACACAAAACTAATGAAAATCAAATAATACATAAAACTAATGAAAATTATTAAATCTAAGACAAAAATCTCAATACTAAACAAATAAAATATAGATGAATACTTCAATTTTACCACACTTGCATGTAGGAAAGTTGATGGCATAAGTGGAAGGGGGAGGAAAGAGATGTTATTGTTTGGAAAAGGGAAGGAAAGACATGATCGTCTCTTTATTTGTAAGAATAGTATAGATCATTTATTTTGTCATATGAAACTGAATAAGAAGAGACAACATCACCATCATCATCATACAGACAATATCATCAATAATTGTTTTTCTCTTAACTTTTCTTTTTCCTTTACCAGTATCACTGCTAGCTTTCTTTGGAGCTATGACTGAGCACTAATGAAGAGAAAAAAAGTCACAGTACAATAAAATTGGAAAAGAAAAGCACTGCATAATACACGAATGTATACAATATGGCACTCGACTAAGAAATGATTCCGTTCAGGTTAACTTGGTTCGACAATGTTGTTTGAAAACCAAATTTTTGTTTGATAACCAAGGCATTTTCATCTCGAATATTCTGTTCAAAAACAGATTTGTTCAATATGCGAAACACTTGACAACCGAGGTTGCACTGTATTTGAATAAATAAACAAGTATTAATTTTTTTTCCAATAATTCTTTTCAGTATTCTTCGATTGTTATTTTAAATACTTTGTTATAATATTCATCTTTTAAAAAGTATTTTTATTTTTTTTAATTTAACTTTTTAAAATTTTCTTTTATTTGAATAAATGAATATTAACCTTTCTTTCATATAATTGTATTGAATATTTTTTGTTTAATTCAAAATTTTTACAAAGTTATATTGAATTATGAATTAATATTGTCAAAGTTTCCAATATGCAGATATCCAAATTTTGCTAAGTGTGCCATGATTTTTCATTTGCTTCTAGGTGTGCAATTGCTTAAAAAAGGTTGAGAAACACTGCTACAGCATCTGGATATATGTCAGTAATATCTACAGCTTGGAAAGAGAAATTGGTAAGCCAAGTTTGAACATCCAACAGAGTTCGTTACATTCATTTCTTATATCTATTTATTATTATTATTAACCCAGCAGCTATATGAGCAAACAAAGAGAAGGTTAAAGGTAAAAAGTAAAGCAAAAAGCACCAGCAACATGGCAGTAAACAGGCAAAATTGAAACATTGAATTAGAAAAACATTTAAGAGAGCAGAAAAGACACAAGTACAATTACTATCTGTCAATATACAGTTGTTTTATTTATAAACTGACACAACTTTTTATTTTTTTATGTAGTAGTGCTACAATTCAGAAGCAGAGTTCACTTTACCAAACTATTTTTTTGAACAAGATGGGGCACCTCCTTATTATGCCAAAGCAGGAGTACCTTGACCAAAACTTCACACAACTTTGGATCAGATAACATGGCAGCATTGAATGGCCACTACATTAAAAATTATATTTAAGATAATTAAATATAATTTTTTTAAAAAATCATTTCACTCCAAGCAAGGCAATAATGCCACTAAGGCTCAAAGGTTTACTGAAAGTGAAAGGTAATGAGAAAACGTTAGTGAGGAGAAAGGACAATAAAAGAATGGATATCAAAAAAAGACAGTGGATGGCAATTAATGTTTCATTTCAAAATTTTCTGGTGTGATTTCTCCATTTAAAACATATTAAGAAACAATGACTGGAAAATTATTTAATTAGAACATTATGATCACAAAAAGTAGCGCCAAAAATTTAAAAAAAATACGAAAAGAAATAAAATCATCAATAAACTTCAAGCTTTCTGATGTTTTAATAGATCAGTCGGAGTTATTTCCCTTATATTAACGTAAAACCATCAGCAATGTCTTCGTATTTGCATTGAACCAACTGGTAAAAAAAACTAAAACATCAATGTTTAATTAAATGCTTGACAATGTACTTTTAGGAGTAGCATATGTGGTCATTCAGGTCTGCAGGGCAAGCTGTCACATTCACATTGGTACAGTATGAAGGGAGATAAAGATCTGAATGCATGGTGGTGCTGAAAATAAGGCACATCAAAGCTGTGACCCATTTGAGCTTCACTTGGTAAATGTCTTTACAAATTATGCAAATTCCTGATGTTAAATTCTCTAAACATAAATTGCATAAACTTGAGATTTTAATTTGATATTTAGAGTAATTGATATAAATTTAATAAAATTTATCTTGAAGTTTTAACAATTCTGAAATATAGACAATTCTTAAATTTCAATGTATACAGATATTCCTCACTTAATGACTGGATTCTGTTCCAATGATCTGGTCACAAGTGAGAAATGGTACCTGAATGCTATTTCAGGCATGTTACAGAATGTAAAAGAGTTGTGACAAACAGCTACAAACAATTTTAAAGATAATAAACAAATTAAAAAATCAGCTCTTTATTTGGTACATTACTTCCGGTTGCATAGTGTAAATATGACACAAGTTAATTTTTTTTAATTTATTTTTCACTTTATTTATTCATTTTGAATTAATAAAAAATGGCAGTGTTTAAACTTGGTGCCAGCAAATACTGTGGGTCAAAAGGACAGTTGTTCCTTTGACATGGCAATTATTGTATGCACTTTTGATTCCCTCAGCAATGTTTACTTACAAGATTATAAAAAATATATGAACTAAGTACAATTTGATATTTATTATTTACCTTTTATAAAGAAATAAATTTGGAAAGAAATCTTTTTATTCAAAAACTTATAAAAAAAATTGCAAAATTATCAAAATATGTAAACCAACTACAATGCAATTATTTATTACTAGCAGCCATACCCAGCTGATCGATCAGAAAAAGTGTTCAATTAGAATGGAGCAAAAACAGCATCATGTTTACATGTAACAGAGTCTATCTTCAATTACTTTAAAGTACTTTTATTAGAAAATATTTTGAATTAATGTAGTTACTGATAAAACAGATGTAGTCTGTATTTATTCAATTGAAGTCAGCTGAGAACATGAACAGGTAAAACAGGCAACATGAAGACCCACTTCAGAACATATTTATTTTGGAGTTTTTGAAATTCAATTTATCAGTGTGCTACAGGGATGAAAAAGAAGATACATTTATAAAGCAATTGTTAAGTTTGATGAAAATTGGTTGAAAGATTAATGAAAAATAAGAATGAAACCAGTAAAAATCACCATTTTTCACTATTTACGTGGGTTTTTACTATATGGGTGGACTCAATTATCAAGTTAAATGACTGTTAAACAATCAACTTATTGTTGGCTACAATTGAGTGAAGTTTGTATTAGATTGCTTGAAAATTGTTGGAGTTTTTAGTTTAAAATTTGTGTTGAAATCGATTTGTGTTGAAATTGATATGTGTTGAAATAGATTTTTCATTTCTTGCAGTTTTTTGCTAAATGCAGTGGCGTAGAAATAAAAATGAGGTATCATTGAGCTTGTCATGATGTAAGTAACCTACATACAGAGTTTGAAGAAATCAGATAACAAATGTTGAATTTATCGATTTTTGATTGGCTTTATCGATTACTAATTTTTAAAAAAATTATCAATTTTATATGCTAAGAACCTATCTCTTACATTGTACAATGCATGTGCCAAGTCTGGTAAAAATCAGTTAGATGGATCTTGACTGAAAAGGTATCACACAGACATCCTCTGTTTCATATATATAGATTTACCATTTTATAAATAACTATGAAAACAAGTTTTTTTTATAAAAATATCAATGAATATTTTTATGAATCAAAAAATGTCAATTCTGAAGAATAAAGAAAATATATAAATTCACTTTCATATTTTTGGGTTTTAAAATTCTCATTGTTTTCTAAACAATTATCATTGCATAGGGCGTCAAAAGTGTATACAGTCATAGCAATGTCAAGGAGAAAACTGTCATTTTAACACACAATTTTTTCTGCAGTCAGTAAGCTTAAAGATTGCTGCAAAAAACAATCATGATCAATATTCTCATATAACATACAACAATGAGTGTTTGGATATTTTAAAAAAAAAAGAAAATTTTTATAAGATTTTATAACTGCAAGTCCAGGGACTGTTAAATAAATAAGTCGTTAAGTAAAGAGTGGATGTATTTTATTATTAGAAAATTATTTAACAATTTGAAATTTCTCAAAAGTTCCAGCTCTTTGAGATTTACCAGCACGTGATGTATGATTATGGGTTATTCCTTCGAAATGTGACAAAGTTGCTGCAGAACAGTGTTCAAAGGTTTTTTTTTTATTTATTTTAATGTTCTTAGACTGACCAACAATAAATTCCATCAGTGTGCTTTAAGGAAATGCAGAGGATAGCATGGACTGAACATGTGAGTAATGAGGAACGTTTAAGAAAAATGGAAACAAAAAGGATACTTATACAGATCATCAGAAAGAGACAGTGGACATTTCTTAAACACTGAAGAAGTAAGAGGGCTTTGATACTCACAGAAGGACATATTCAGGATAAGAGGGATAGAGGTAAGCCACATATATAGTCTACCTAATGGGTTTATGTAAATGGCTGGCAGAACAGGGATTAAAAAATCATTGCAAAAAGATGATGATTTTCCCACGTCCTGAAGAGACAGTACATAGAAAAAGTGATGTGATGTGTGTACGGATATAAAGAGTGTTTACAGATTAGATTGATTTATTGCAAGCTCATCAGATAATTCATACAAGTCATTTAAAAGGATTGCATTTTTTTTACATGTAAAGAAATTTTTTTCTCATGGCAATTTTCATCTGATGAGATAAATTGTGAATTACAATGACATTGTTTCCTTTGATTTGTTTTGCTACTCCATTCAGTCTACTCTTTGTAATAGAAGTTCTTGTATCAGAAAACCAATTTCTTTTTCCATATGGTTTCATCTAAGTTTTTTTATTTAACAAAATGCTTTATAAATGTTTGGAACATCAGACTTTTGTATTGCTTTTAATCCTACCATAATCAATGAAAATTTTTTCTTTGAGTCTGAATCATGCAAGTCATTCTGTTGACAATAAAAAAAAAAAAAAAAAAAAAATGCTGATTTTGCTAAAAATTTTTTTTCCTTCAGAAAAATGGAACATTTCACAAAAGAAAAGAATTTTATAAATACCGTATCAAGTTTATTGTCATCCAAGCTTTCATAAATCTGACTGGCAGCTGAAAATCCAATCTTTTGACAGCAGAGCAGGATACACTGTAAAATAAAGATGTTAGAAATTTAGCATGGAATAAGTAAATGAACTGGATCCTCATCAAGTTTCACATGAGTTAAAATGGTGTCCATAAAGAAAGCTGCATTATAAAGAGGAAAATGACAGGATTTAGATACAATTAAATATAATCCTATATTTTAAAATAGCTGTTTTTTTATGTGATGAGGATTAATCACTTTAATTAGGTACCTCCACTAATTCATACTATGTAAGGTTCAAAATGAATTTTTAAAATTGAAAAAACTTTCATTTTAGCTTTAATTGAAAAATCAAAGGATTAAATTTACTATTTCCAGTAAGCAAAATACTCTGGAGAATTTCAAAAAGAAATTATATTGATAGGAATTGATTTTTTTTTTTTTGCTAAAAAAAACTGATTAGCACCCTTTTTTAGTCATCTTTCATTGCAATGCAATTAACTTTATTAAAAAAAATCTTCCAAAAATAAAATATACTTTTCTGAAGCTTCATGTGAGGAATATTAGCTGATTTAAAGAATAATAAATCTGATTTGAAACAAATATTATTTACTTTAAGTTTAAAATACCACAGAAAGGAATTTTTAAAGCAAAGTGTTTTTAACTGACTGTAGCCATGTTTATGTGTTTGACAAGGAAATGACAGATTGATTGTTGCTATAGAGAGACTTTAATTTATGAAAATGATGCAAGCACTTTTTTTTATATAACTTTTAAGTACTCAGTAATCTTAAAAATGTTGGAAAATTTTCTCTACAATCTAATTTTAGGAATGTTGACTTTAAATTTAGTCATTGCTCTTATTTACTGATAATGTCATATATGGTCTACCATACTTTCAAAAATATGGCACATCATATTATATTTTATATAAAATTTTTTAATTATTTTAAAAATCTTGGTGCATGATTTGTATTAAACTTTTCAATTTTTGATTAGTAAATATAGTTTTTACTTAATAACAATATCACTTAAAGTAAATAAAGTAATGTAAAATTTTGAAAGATTTTTTTAAAAATCATTATAATAAATTATTATAATTAAAATGAAAAAAATGAAAACAATTCTTGTAAAAATTCATTATTCATCGAAAAAAAATTTTTTCTGGAGACAGCAGTGCACTTAATGAATCTTATCTATAAAAGCAATTAAAAACTTTTATACATATCTAATAATAATGTCATAGTATTATTGCATTTTTTATTTTATGATTTTGAGCATATTTTTTGGGATATGAGTAGTGGTTTGTAAAAAAAAAAGGGAAAAATTCATGATTTACATTCTCCAAGGAGTTCGGCTTTTAACTAATAAAACAAATTTTGCAATTAAAATTTAATTTCTTGCAATTTCATGAAATTAAGTAAGTGAAGAGTAACATATTCTAAAAAGAAAATTTCAAAAATAATTTCATTCATCTATATAATAAATGCGAAATTTCACTGTGTTACACATTTTCAACTTAAGGGACACAACTCTCAATAGCACTTTTCAAATGGAAAAAAAATACTGTTCTCAAAATAAAATTGTCCAGGTTTTCAACTTTGTTCCTAGAAGCCCAACATATCATGCCATTTTGGAATCAGACAGACTCCATGAGCAAATTAAGAACATTCTGGCTGGATCCAAACCAGCAATCCTGAAATTTTGGATTCCCATATTTTCATTACTGTGATTGCTTTTGGTGATTTTTTGTGACAAATTTTTTTGTATGATAACAATTTTCATAACTTGGAAATAAATTTGGAAATAATAGAAATTAATTGTGAAATCTAGAGAAAGTCACCCATAAAATAAAAATAATTGTACGTACGAAAAGTAAGGATCTACATACATCAAATTGTCTTTAAACTAAGTGGCAGCAAAAGAATTATCATTGAACATTTAAAAGGTAAGTTTTAATATCAGTACAATTCTTAAATGATGCAAACGATGTAGTTTATTGTTGCCTATCAATCTATTCCTTACCTATTGTGATGAAGGCCCAATCAAAAGTCTTCCTTAAGAGCTAGCTTAAATGCCGCCTCATTGGGCGGCTTTTAAGCTAGTTTATGAATAAGTCCTGAAAGTTTTATTACAATCCCACAATTATTTGAATTTTGCAAGAATTTCTAAATCAATGTGTTTTTTACTGGAAAAAAAGGTGCTAAAACACCAATAGTAAAATTAGGCTGACCGCTGATGCAAAAAAAATAAAATAAAAATAAAACAAAATTTTTAAACAAAAATTCGAATGTGCTAGAAAGGATTAAAAAAATTTAAGAAATAATAAAATATTTTGGTCTTTCATCTTAATAAACATTTTGATGATAAAATTTTATTAAGTTTGGAGCCATTCTTCATCAAGCTATGCTGTTTTTTCAGAGAATTAGTGGATGTACCTAATTTTAATCATCAGGAATTTGCACATACAAATCATCAAATCTATTCCCTAAGGTTGTCTTTCTAAGAAAACACGCGAAAATCGAACAAATATAGCTGCAGAAAGTAAATCTCAATATTGCTTAACATCTTACATTTTTAGATTTGTCTCCCTTGTACTATGACTGACTTCAGTTGTGTATTATATCTTTCGACGGTTTTGCCTTATAAAATTTAAACTGAAATACCTTTTGAAATATCAATCGATAGAATAATGGCAAAATTATTTCATTTTTTAGCTTAAATTAATTTCTTCTACTTTTAAGAGATGATTTGAAATTTTAGATTAATTTTTAATACCCCCCCCCACTAAATGGGCTCAATCATTAGACTGACATTATGGCTAATTTTCATCAACAAACTTCTCAATGTCATCAGTTCTCAACTTGGTATCTATGCTGATAGCAACTATTTACTTCTGTTTTAATATCAAGTAGGTTCAATAAAGTTAAATTTACAGCTTATCTCAAAAATGACCCACAATCTGTTGTTAAGTGGGACAAAAGAAAAGACTTGTTAATTTTAATGCTCCCAAAATGAAACTGCTCTCTTTTAATCATCATAGAGAACCTTTTCTGGTTTCCATCAGCACAGCTGAGGCTAACCTCCAGGAGAGTGACTCCTGGAACATTCTCAGGCTAACATTTTCTACTGACATGAAGTGGAAAGATTATATTGGGTTCAATTGCTAGGAAAGTTGGTTCACTATGTTGTGTTACACAATTTTTCTCACCAGAATCTTTCTTACAGTTTTATAAGTTTACATCTATTCTAGTGCTTCTGCAATGTATTTAGTGATTATTGATAAACTCCAAAGAAGAATCTGCAATGATATTAGTCTTGACCTGGTGTCTCAGCTTCATTCATTTTCCCACCACCATAATATAGCTTTCTTGTGCCTTCTCTATAAATATTTTCATGATAATTGCTCTCATAATCTTTACTCTTTGGTACTGCAACTTTACAAATTTAAGCACAGTACTAGATTGGCAGCTAGGTCCCATCATTTTACAGTTAAAATGGCTAGATGTAACTGTAAGTTGTATGCTGTTTCTTCTCTTGCAATTCTCGCTTGCGGAACATTCTATAGAGTTTGCTTCCCAGTCAAGTTTGATCTTCAAAAATTTAAATGCAATGTCAATTATCTTATCTTTTTAATTACTGTTATTTTATTATTTTCTCTTTCCTTAATGTTTTTCTTTTTCTCATATTCTTTCACATTCAGTAACCCCTTGCATCTTAGTGGCTTTATTGCCTTGAAATAATTATAAAAAGATAACATAAAGGGAGATAACTGATACATCTGGAAGAGGCATGGCATATGGAACTGGCAAAATCTACCCCAGTGGAAGAAATATAGGGTTTGGTTTGAAATTCTAATCACCTGAAGGAGGCTGGAGTGTACAATGGCTGAAACGTCATGAATATGAAAATAAAGATCAGGCAATAGTCCAAACAATGTAAATAAGAAATAGATCATTCAAATTTTGCAGATGTAGCAATGAACACACTTCAAAACTTTGAACTCTTTGACTTTCACGGAGTTCATGAGGAATACATTTATCAAGTTTCTTCACCTTGCCAATTTTCTTGAAATATTGTTGGGATTCTGATACACATTATCTGAGACATTTCTCTGACACTTTGATGTGGATTTTGTGTGACTAGTGTTTTTTAAATGTTGATTGTCAATTGCATATGAATGTCGTCTACCAGTTTGAGCTTCAAGATCTGTATCCCCAATGTGGAACTTCGGAAGGTAGCACTGTACTATCCAGTAACACGTGGATCCTTCAACCCATACTCTATTAATGTTGGCAGCAGTTTGAGAATCATTATAACCAAATATAAACTAATGCATAAAAAAAAAGAAAAAAGGAAATGTATCTCCTCTCTTTTTCCTGTTCAAGATGAGAGGTATATAATATTTTAAGTTAAATTCTGAAAGAGATTAATATAGAATTAACAAGGAGGATATTTTAATTAGGAATGAATAATATATTTTTGTGCAACTATTATAACAATATATTAGAACACAAAAGTTTTATTCTAAAATCGGACATTATTTTCGAAACAACCTAATAAAAAAAGACAATGAAGAAAGGTAGAAAGAGTGGATGTCTGAAGAGAAGAGAATTCTTCCCATCAGTTGTTACCAGGGAAACAGAGAGACAGAATCTTTAATACATCACTCACCTGTTTCCTGAGTTGGTAAAAAAAATTTTCTGTTTTTTCACTGAGTGATTCAGGGCAGATACTATAAGTAGCAGAGATCTCTTTAAAAATTTCAGTATATGCTTCAATTGTATTTTGTTTGGGGAGGCCGTGCAGCCGTGGAAGCCAGGAAATTAGCTCCAGCTTGAATTGTAAGTCTTTGTTGATTATCAATTCCTCAGAAAAGTCTCCCAAGAAATCTGAAATGCCACAAAGAAAATCAATGTTAGTATTTATAGCTGAGTTTTATAGTGCAATTGCAGAATAATCTGCAATAGCTAGACAGATGATGAAAAATTAGTATTTGAATATGTGGCAATTAAAAAGAAAACAACACTAGTAGGGTTGTCAAAGTTGCAGTTGAAAAGAAGAAGGAAAGAGAACAGGGTATCTGTCTATATTTCTGAGATGAGGTATTATGTACACTATTTACATTATTTGGACTATTGTCCTCATCTTTGTTGCCATGGAGAGAGAAGGGAGATCCCTGCCCTCTGTGGGATCAAGTTGAGATCATAGACAAAGAACATCATTGGGAAAGTCGTAAAACTTAAGGAATCAGCACATATGTTAGGCCACAGAAATCTCCTGAGCCAACCAAGCATAGAAATGAATACAATATGGGAACCAGTAATAAGGTGTGCGAGAGAAAGATGCGATAATAACAACAAAAATTGCAATATCAGCTCTGGTAAAAAATGGTTGCTAAAGACATTAGGTTTATAATACCCAGAAATTCATACACAGATGTCCTCAAGAACATATGGCACAGTGGTTAAAGGTGTTTGTTAGATCCAATGACAGGACCCAATGTGAGTTAAGGCAGTGGAGAACTTTGAGAGGGGAATTAACAGGAGATAACTGACATCCATTAGAACAGTCTACCCCAATGAGCAAAATAAAGGGTTCAGCTTGACATTCCAACCTGAAGAAGGCAGGAGCGTACAACAGCCAAAACATTGTGATAAACATAGTGACAAAGATGAGGACAATAGTCCAAATAATGTAAATAGAGAACAAGGTAATATTACAAATAGATTGCACCAGATTGGTTAAGTCAAATTAAAACTTAACTATGTCAAATGTCAATAATTTTACCTCCTCTTCTTCCAGCCTGGAGTTGTTAGAGAAAATAACATAGAAAGGGCATGAATCTATCTTCCTCCAGCTAGGATCACTTTCTTGGAGAAAGAAAACTTGGAATTCAAAATTCACTCTGAAGAATGATGGTCACCAACCTATTTTGCTTAAGACACACCAATGTTGCTATGGCTGCAGGTTACGTTAATGACCTTAGGACTCTAATGTGTTATGGTATACCAACTTTGACCTGTGTACAATATATGCATGTTAGTCATATTGGTTGCTAGCAGACATTCTGATAAATGCTTGGATATGACAATAAAAAAAAAAAAAAACACCAGTAGGAAATGAAAGGGGGTTAACCTCAAATTATTCAAAAAGGCTCCAAACTTTAACAGCCAGTTTAAAAAAAAAAAAGCTCTTAATGATAAGATGTTGCTAGTTGCAAAAAATGCCTTTGTTGCAACCTTTGTGGATTTTAGCAAATCTGAATGAAAAGGCATTGAGTAAAAGTAGAGAATTATGCTTGATAATATTTTGTAGAAAAAGAGAGAAAAGCATTCTTATTAAGAATTGAACAAAGAATATATATAATAAAATTATCCTTGTAATATTAGTGAAAACAACCATCCAAGCAGGATGAATTACAGGAGCAGAAAATATTAAGTCGGAATTGCAAAGAAGAGAAAGAAAACTGAAAGAGAACAGGGTTATATTACAAACAGATTACATTAAATTGGTTAAGGCAAATTAAAACTTAACCACATCAAGTGTCGATAATTTTACCACCTTTTCTTCCGGCCTGAAGTCGTTAAAGTAAATAATTTATTTTTAATTTTTTCAACAAATAAAAAGATACCTTATTGGATAAATAAAACAATAAAAATATTAAAAATGAAAAAGCTAACTGAAAAACCTTGTTAGTTCGGGTCATGACTTTTATCAGTGAAACTCAGCCAATTGTCTACACTAATGACTGACTTAGTTGTCAGTAGCCTGTTTGCTTTTTTTATCTGATCTATTCTTAATGCCAAGTCCCTTAAGGAAGCAGGTGATTGCAACTCTCTACAGATTCCTTTTCTTTATTATATGTGAAGTGCATAATTCTTTGGGAAAGATAAAGGAGTGGTTTCTTGTTACTTCCTCTTGTTTGAAATTTACTTTTCCTTCTTTTAGAGGGGCTGCCATTCAATGCTAGAGAGCCCAGTTAACTCTGCTATTTAACCTATGACTGGGGGAACAGAAGAGACAGATTTCTTGTGCAAAGGTGAAAATTATGGATAAGCCCAGGAATTTTCTTATTTCCATATTGATATCCATTACCCTATCTATACACCTGTCCTATTTGATATGCGACCCAATTTAAAGATGTTCTTGAAAGGGATTACGAAAGTGGCACGGGACATGTGACATGAATGTTAGATAACATAACAATTAATCAGAAATAGTAGAACTCAGAAGCATTAGGAAAACCTTCATCAAAGTGATGGTAAACATACAGAATATAAACAGAACCAAATGGTGAAAGCTGAGGCACTAATCAGATGTAAATTAATGAATACATATGCACAGATAAACAACATTAATTAGTTGCACATTATTGACTAATTCTCGGTTACCTGTGAACCATTCTTTACACAAATCTCTCTCTCTCTCTCTAAAACTACAAACGTTCTTTTCTAAATGAAATTAATAACAACTGGTTTAAATTGAGAAGTTATACTAAAGAAAAATTTGTCTCCAACAGGAATCGAACCCGCACACATTTTTTTTAGGCTGGTTTTTATTAATTTCACTGTTTAAGAAAACAAAAACAGTGATAGCAAATCAAACATGTGTACCCACCAAAAATAACGTTTAATATTAATTTTTGACCTAAAAAAAACCCCAAAAAAACAAAGATTTTCAACCTAAATTTAAAATGTTGCAAATGAAAAAAAAATTTTTTTAAAATAATTAAAAAACACCTTGGTCTTCCCTCTTTAATTTTAACATAAACATTTACAAATTACAATTTTCTTTTATCAATTGGGGGACCTTTTTTCTTCAGGGTATACCACTTTTTTAGCGTTACCTGGGACAAGCCTAGTTTATAATAAGAAATAATGTCAGATAAAAAAAATCTTTTCAAAAAATTATTTTGGCCAGCAATCCCTCTTTTATAAAGGTTTCGTTAAAAATAACTGACAACATACTGCAGTTAAGTTTTTTTTAACTTTTCTTGTGCTCGTATAATTATCTTCTTTTTTTAACATAAATTATGTAGAGATTTTCTATTCTTTTTGTCATGTATTCGATCAAATTTCTAGAGTTTTCATAAAATTAGTTATGGGGGGTTCTGCCATGACTTTAATGAAAAAAAAACAAAACATAATAATTTCCATCATCTATGAATAGTTTCTGAAGGTTTCATTAACATCCGACAATTATTTTTTATTTTTGCAAGATTTTGTGTGTCATAAAAAAAAAAAACGTATTAAAAATTGTATGTTATTTTTACTAGCTCCGGTGATACAAAGAGAAACAAAGTTTTTTTTTTTTATCAAAATTTAGAATATTCTAAAAAGGAAAATTTTTTTAAAAATAATTAAAAAAAACAGGTTTTTCCTCTTAAACATTTATAAAATTTTGTTTTCGTCAAGTTTGGCGTCTTTTTCATCATGCTATGGATGCTCTTTTTTTTTTTTTTAGCGATCTCATGGAGTTACCAAAAGTAATTTGTTTCAAATCAGATTAATTTTAAAATTTTTAAATCAGCTAATATTCCTTAATTAAAGCTTCAAAAAAGTATATTTTATTTTTGAAGTATTTTTTTTTTATTAAAGAGAATTATATTGTGATGACAGATGGCAAAAAATGGCACTAAAATTAACGATTTCGAAACCAAAACTTTTTTCAGTCAATTTAGTTTTGGAATACAAGCAAAGTATTTTTGCTTATTGGAAATATCAAATTAAGTTGAAATAAAAATAAAAATAAAACCTTCAATGAGATTTTCATTTTTAAAAATCATGTTATTTTTAAAACCTTAGGTATCACGTTCATGTGAAGGACCTAATTTGTCTTGGTAGTATTTTAAAATGATTTTACTTTGTCTTTCAGATAATAAATGTCAAACTTGAGTTTTTTTAGTGGCTTTACTAATTTAAAAAAAAAAAAAAAAACTTTGTACATTATGTTTTGTTTCACAGAGTAACATTTTCTGTTGAAACTTTGGTAAATTAAATTAAAAACAAACTTGCGTTGTGCAATCAGTAATCATTTCGATAATATGTAGTTTCTGTTTATCCTTTTATTTTTGTAATTTCTAGTACCTCCCAGAACAACAAATAAAAACCAAATCATGAATAATAATTCAATAATTAAATTAATGTAACCATTCATTCAAGAAAATAAGATATAGAAACTAGCGTAAATAAAATGAAGATTTCTAAAGTAAACTAAAACACAAAGAGGGTATTTATTTACAAGAGAAAACTGACATCACATGAGAAAAAAATATCCTCTCCGGATGTTATTGCTCTCGGTCAATCGGATGAAAGAGTAAACAAAAAAAAAAAAAAGAAAAATGGATACAAAAATAACTTATGAAATAAATCTAAATTTCGAAATTTGAACAAACTACATTCCTTTTTGTTGCAAAGATTTATTAATTTATTCATACTTTAATTTTTATGGTATGTGGATAGGCAAATAAATATGTCAAACAAAATGATTGAAAAATCCCTAAGTCGTATTAATTTGTTTATTATTTAACTCACTTGCTGCTCGAACATATTTGTTTGAGCAAGGTTCAAATTTCTGCGACCATTCTTGCAAAGTACACTGACAATAATAATCCAAAATCCAACAATGAACTGCGTTTGTTAACAACCCAAACGGCATTTCTGAATCCATTTCTGCGATGAAACCCGCTCTTTTTACGGTGTTACGGTGAACACCCAAAATCTGTTCCTCTTTGTTAAAAAAAAAACAATCTATTCTAAGTAGTTGCATAAAGTGATGATTTAGGTTTCATTTATTATTATTCTTATTTTTAAATTGAATATATCTCTATATATTGGGTGGGTGACATTTTCAAAATGTTGCATTATTTCGCGAACTTAAAAATGCGTTTAAAATCTATATTAATAGTACATACGAGTTGTAAGTGTTTGTTTTTCATTTTGCAACTTATTTCTGAACGAACCCTCCTCCCTTTTTATTTTTTCGGTCGAAATATTTCGGTCGGAAATGATAGAAAGTTATTTTTCTTATCAGCCAGGTATGCAGACCAAGAGTGGTATAATCACCTCAGCTATAATTTACATTATGAAAGATTTCAAGAACATTGACTTCGGGGTATCGAAGAAAGAACACAAACCCTTTGCCAGATGTGTACGTTTATTGTCATTGTTTTATGCGCCAGCAATTAGTCTTTAGTAACCCTGATTTCAATTTTCAAATATTTTCTTGAATTTCATTGGTTGTTAAATAAAAATAAGCTTTGAAAAATTTCCATAACAAAACAGTCAAAATTTGTGCAAAAATAGGCTCAACTGACATAAAAAGATATTTCTCAAATTCATCCCTAATTTAAATGTTTCAAGAAATCTACTGGCTAAAAGATAAAAAATACAACATTCGCCCACGCATTTCTCAGAAAAATTCGCAACAAGCTATCAAGCCGCTAGATCCGATTTTGTTGTTTAAAAAAACTATAAATAGAAACAGCAAACGAATTTTCGTCGCATTTTGAGACTCACACACGCAAAGAGACACACGGGAATTATGTGTCAAAATTGCCACCAAAGAAACAAACTTTCTTTATGAGAGATTGGAAAAAATTATACAACAAACTCTTTCACTTAATATCTTTCGTAGAAAAATCTTTTGTCTAAGTTAAATGCAACCTTTCAATCAAAGGCAGACAACTTTTAGACATTGAATATTTCTGAAACAGCAAAGAACTTTTTCTCTATACTTTTTTTGCACACATCATTTTCATTACAAACAAAGAAATTGTAAATTGTGCATATAAAATTTAATCATACTAACATGTTTCAAACATGTATTTTTTGTCGTGATTGAATATCGTTACCATTTGGCCATTTCTTATAATTTATGTTTGTGGATATTGCATATTTTATTTGCAGCACAATCTTAAATAATCACACATCCTTCTTATATCCACTACACGTAAGTTCACAAATGATAAAAATAAGTTTAGAAATTAAAATAATTATTAAGCTTGTAAATAACAATAAATCAAATAAAACCATGGCTTTTTTATCACTGAAAAGACATGATTTCATTTGAATTATTTTCAGGTGTTGAAATGCTAAAATTATTACTTTTCTTTTACATTCCGATTTTTAGTAATTCAAAAAAAATCATAATAGCGACTTTCCATTGAATTTTCTTCAAAAGAAAATCAAGACAAGTCATTCAGAAAAATGATAATTTATTATGATTGCGTATATTTTGGCATCATGTTTCCACTGAGACATGGCTCATTAAATAATTGAGACAAATTTCGCCTACTTATTTTTAATATGATCCTCTCATATTCACGGACAAAGTTCTTAGTATCCTTATTAAAGGAAGAAAGAAAGATACCATATTGATGCATATTCATTTATTCGGAATACTTTCGACATTAGCAAAATGTCATCTTCAGTGTCTTGTTTTATCTAAATTTGTTGTGTTTATCTGAAAATTATTATTTTTTTTATTTTTGAAGTGAAAAACGCTAAACTTACGTAATGTACGATTTTTAAATTTTATGATGTAAGCATACTTGGACAGTAATGTCAAGTGATGTAATTAAGTTATTATGATGTCTGTCTTAAAAAAAAACTACTTAAAGCTATTAGTTTATAGCATTCTGCTACCACTTGTTTTCGACTACAAAAATCTGTGCAAAAAGTGGATCAGAGCCTTGATATTTTTCTCATTTCTCATTGGTCAGTTAATATTACAATCATGCTCTCATCTACGTCCGAATAACATCGACCTAGTTCCTGACCTGAACGAAAATACAATTCCGCTAAAAATCTGTCTATACCTTCCGGAACCTATCACGTGATTACGTTTATTATAAATACTGTGACACAAGTTCTTTCTTCCTCCTTTGATTTCTCTCGCTTACTAAAATGTAGCTGTTTAAGAACTCGCATTCCGACCTCTTTCGCGCGAACGCTATGAAAACATATTCACACACGTACACGTAAACGTACCCACGGAAATTTAATTACAAACATTACAGAACATTACAAGCGTCAACATATTACGAATATTCAACTACAAGCAACGGAAACTAATTAAACATTACGGAACATTCACTCCTTCAACTCTTCTCAAGCTAAAAGTTTATCAACATATTCTCAGCTTTACAGAATTCTCTCAACTCTCTCACGGTGAACATTTTGAGCGGCAAGTTCATTCAACTTTCTATGAGCCCAGATAAAAACATTTCTTTAGTAAAGACTTTAATTTCAGTTAAAGGGAAGTAACTCCTATAAATTATGCTTGTATATCATTGACATACATATGAATATTGTTTGTTGTTATACAACCGTTTTGTGTTCCTTTTTATTGCTTCATATTTTGTGATATTTTCCGTAAATATAAATTCGAGAGGTTGCATCAACATGCAAACCTCTACAAGTTAAAACCTAGATATTTTAAAACTATCTACTGTCGGGTCGACATGTTGTTTCCGTCTGGAACATTTTTATGTCAACAATATAAAAAACTGAAGAATCAATTTACTCAGATAATTTAAACGGAGTTTCAAATTGTTACAAAGTGTATGCTAATATGTAGCATTTATAATTAATAGTATAGCAGAAGTTATTTACCTTGAAATTCTTAAAGACTTTTAAGAGAAAAGATTTCAGTTCATGAAATAAAGTTCAAACTCAGTGAAAAAATGTTCTAAGTTGCTTTTTGAAGAAAATGTTTGTTTGGCAAACTGTATGTTCTTTGAGTAGAATTCTTGTTGTCTCGATAAAAATCGTAGATGTTAAAATTGAAGTGTAGTCTGTTATTGAGTAAGTGAATTCGAAGTTTGGGATTACGTTAGGAAATCTAGCTTAGAAACCTCAATGATTTGAACGGCGTGAATTTGTTTAACGAATTGTTTGATACCGCAAAGCTCGCTGTTAGAAGTTGAATAAGTTTCTGTTGCCTGTAGTTGAAGGAGTGAATAATATTAGTTAAGAGATGGCGTCTTCATAGCGTTTTTCCCTAAGGGAACAAACGCAATTTCTCCACAGAGATTACATTTTGTATGTGAGAGAAGGCAAAAGAGAGAAAGAGTTGAAGATGTCACAGTATTTGTAACGTTGTATGTCACGTGATAGGCTCGAAACACTTACACGAATTTTTGGAGGTAAATTAATTTTAGCCGTGCGGACGTAGTGGAAAACATGACATTAACATTAATTGACCAATCAGGAGTTAGAGAAATACCAAGGCTTTGTGATCCACTTTTTTGCAGATTTTGTCGATTGCAGTACTGTTACGTAGGAAATGTATTGGAATCTTTTTTAGCCAGTGGAATTAGTTAGATCACAAATAAAATATTAAATTGAAGTAGAACACTAAAAACACACCTCAATGTGTGTCTTGTCTATGAACTCCCCCCTTTCAATGGGTTTTATTAAACACATCTCAAAGTGTGTCTTGTCTTGGAACTTTTCCATTTTCTTGGATTTAATTAACGCACCTCAACGTATGTGTTTGTACTTTTCCATTTTCATGATTTTATTAAACACACTTCAATGTGTACCTCTGTACCTTTCTATTTTCAGGGGTTTATTTAAACACATCTAAATGTGTGTACATAACTTTCCTTTTTCAAAGGGTTTTTATTAAACACAACTAAATGTGTATGTTTTCCCTTTTAAATATGTATATGTGAACTTACCCTTCTTTTTGAGGGTCTTATTTTATTATATTCACCACACAATATATAAAATACTCCAATAAATTGTTATTTGTTGATTAATAAATCTTTATCTTCTTGTTCATTTTAAATTCACTTATTTAAATGTCTTGCTTATTCATAGAGTGATACGTTGGGTTAAGATTGCTTTATTCCGGACAACACCCACTATCTTATACGAGTTATCTACAAGAACCAAACACTTTCTGCGCCCCATAATTCAACTAATTCTTGCTCTTGAGAAAGACAATACCCCCAACACTACTGTAAACATTTTAAAACATTTGTGCAGTATTCATAATTAATTTTATTAAGGGTTGGTTTCAATTTTTTAATATAGATAGCTTCAAGAAGTTTTAGTCTATGCTTATTATTTTCATGAAAAAGTATAGATGTATTTTCAACAATAATTTTTCGAAATGACGAATGTGGACAGGCATGCTGTTGTAAATGTTGACAGATGTTAGATGCATCATTCAAATGAAAACTCAACCTCCGAGACAAAGTAGTTGCAGTGTAACCAACATAAATATTATTTTTTTCTGTTGGAGAGACAATCTCCCAAGGGGCATTTAAATTTATATAAATGCAGGTAGAAAAAGCAAATATTAATAAGGTATTGATGGTCTATAGTGGGGTGGGGCTTAGAGGTGAAAATGAACGGTTAATTTACCCACACCAATGAATTGATTAATGAAGAACGATAATGACGGGGAAACACACGGATAATTTTAATAAAGCATGATAATAAATTTATTCATGAAATATCTATTCATTTACTCTCTTGAAGTAGTGTTAGTAGCTCGTTTCAGAAATCAGACTTCTTAAAGTCCATAGTTTTAATATATTGCCATGAAAATGAAATGTTCGTGCAACACGCAAAATAATTTTCAAAAATGTTTAAGACTAAGTTAGGAGAACCCGTTGCTTACAAAAGAGGTATATGGTTTGCATATGTTCAAAAGTA